AACATCAAAAAAAATTTATACACCAAGAGCATTAAATCCAACAATAATTTACATGTGATTTCATTAAGCAAGTATTTGTATTAATCAATTTGATGTGTACATCTCTTTAACGAGCATTAATGAGAGAACATTAATGAAACCATATATTTTAATAATCGGAAAAATCATGAGATCTTAAACCATGCTCTAATACCAACCGTTAGCGATAATGTAATCGATAAAGTAGAAATTCATAATCAAAGAATATTAGATCTTCATGATTTATTCACGACAAGAGGGATGAAGACACATACCTTTATCCATAGCAATAATTTTGAGAAAATGATTGTTGCAGAAATAGGAGAAACGAAGAAATCCGATTTTTCTCTGTTAACCCACTTTTTCTGATGTATTTTATCTTATGCATGATAGAATACAACTTTTGTTGCCTATGTGGGTGGAGAGAGGGCCAAGCTTCTTTTATAAGCTATCAATAATAAGTGCCTTCAATCAAAGCACATAAAATACTCTATCGTCATAAAAGTCGCAACTTCTCATATTCTATCTTCATAAAAAATTGCAACTTTTCATAGCCAATACGTTTTTTTACCATTTAAATAATTATTAAACATTAATAATATCATGGGGGCCATAATTATTCTTACACCGAGTGTATTTGTTCAAAGTAAATACCATTTTGTTAGTGATTTTGGTGAAGTAAATAGTTTTGAAGTTAAAAAAAAAAAACAAAAGAGGAAAACATAGGAACTCCATGGACGATCTTCGATCCTTGTCAAATCCCAAAACATGGACATTCTCTAATTCTTCATCAAACAGGAGACGTTCTCTGATTTCCTTGATCAAAATCTTGCTTTGATCTCATATCACAATATAAATTGCTCATCCTCTCTCCACCTTTTGCGAAAAATACTCATCACTGACCTCTCTCTCGTCCTCCTTCCACTCTCTAACCTCACTCGCCTGTTCTCACACTTGACTCCTTTTCCTCCTCTACCGTATCTGTCACTTGCCATTTTCGCTGCTAACTAGAACGACATGCTCAGGAACTTTAGAATCTATATCTATGGCGCCCGTAGGACCTTCAAGTTCAAATCGGAAGCTGAATTGCTCTTTCTCGGTTCCCTCCTCGGAAGCCCCTTCGTCATCGAGAACCCCAGCGAGGACCACCTCTTCTTCGTCCCCTTCGACGGCGACCTCTCCAAGCACTCAGTAGGTCGCATTGTTCAGGACATTCGCACGGACCTCTCCTACTAGAATTGCAAGCTCAGGACCAACCACTTCTACACTTCCTAAGGCTACTACCCTCTAGATCTCACCTAATAGTCGCAAGCAAAGGAAACATTAGAGAATATGAACCAGGCGCAGCGGCCGTTGACGACGACCTAAGTGGAGACCCTTGGCGCATGATTTTGGGCGAGAACCCATAATTCTCCGATGAATAGTGGCCGAGAGAGGGCAAGATCGGAATTTGGAAAAAAAGTGTGGGCAATTTTGAAAGGAAAAAAATTCATTAACCTTGAAAGTTGTCTTCCAAAAATTTTGAAAGCCCAAGCTGCCTAGGGCTTTCGGCTTTACCATTGATGGCATTTTCCCAGGGTGGTCCAATTTTTTTTTACCAAATAACCTAAATTTTTCACAAGCGACTTAAGGAAGCCGAACCAAACACACCCTAAAGCACATATATCTCTATAAAGCAATATTCCATACAATGAATCAATATTTTGCTACATAAAAATATTGGAGAAAAAAATAATTAGGTTATATCTTAGTCATTGCACTTTTTTTGTCTAGCTTTATTATCGATAAAAATGATATATCTATTGACAACGGTAATTTTTTAATGGGTTAATACCACAAAAAATCCAAATCCGGTACAACTGTGATAAATTTACCCAAAACTAATTTTTTGACCACCAAAAACCCTAAACTGGTATATCTGTGATAATTTTACCATCCGTTAGTTTTCGTTAAATTTTATTTTCAAATTGTTTTGTTAAATGACACGCGGCAGTTGACGGATGTATCAATTTTGGGTTTTACCCTCCGTTTGTCACTGGTACACCAGTTTGTGATTTTTTGTGGTATTAATCCAATTTAACGGAGGGTAAATTTATCACAAGTGTGAAGTAAAAAAATTAGTTTGACGTAAATTTATCATAAGTGTACTAGTTTGGGGTTTTTGATAGTCAAAAAATTAGTTTGGGCTAAATTTATCACAGGTGTACCAGTTTGGGCTTTTTTATGGTATCAACCCTTTTTTAATTTATAGGAAATGAAAAAAAGCAAAAAACACAAAAAAAAGAAAAAAGAACACTTATTTTCGAATAACATCATCAACCTTTTTCTCTGTTTTTTTAGCTTAACAAGTTAATTTCGGATAAAGTCCATCGCACTTATTATTTCTCATCCTTCTTATCTTCTAATCATATAAATTAGGAAAATAAATTCAAAGAAAAAAGGGAGGAAAATAGGGCACGAATTTTTTTTTTGGTTAATATCACGAAAAACCCCAAACTGGTACACTTGTGACAATTTTACCTCGAACTAATGTTTTGACCACTAAAAACCTCAAATTGGTACACCTGTGACAAATTTACCCAAAACTTATTTTTTAACCACCAAAAACCCAAAACTAGTACAACTTTTGACAATTTTACACCGAACTAATTTTTTGACCCCCAAAAACCCAAAACTGATACACTTGTGACAAATTTACTATAAACTAATTTTTTGACCACCAAAAACCCCAAACTGGTACACCTATGATAAATGGGTTAATACCACGAAAAACCCTAAACTGGTACACTTGTGACAATTTTACCCAAAACTATTTTTTTGACTATAAAAAACCCCAAACTGGTACACTTGTGACAAATCTACCCCGAACTATTTTTTTGACCACAAAAAACCCCAAACTGGTATACATGTAACAATTTTACCAGATCTGGCGAGGGCCCGGTCCCGCCGGCCGCTGGCGAGGCTCAACCTCGCCGGCGTTGGGCGAGGTCGAGCCTCGCCAACGGCCAGCGGGGCCGACCTCGCCGGCTTCCGCCTCTGGCCGGTCGCCGGACCGGACCGGCCAGAGGTTGAAGAGAAAGGAAAAAAAAAGTAAAGAAAAAATAAAAAAATTTAATAAAAAAATTCGAAAAAATAAAAAATAGTATTAAAAAATTAGTTCGGGGTAAAATTGTCACATGCATACCAGTTTGGGATTTTTGGTGGTCAAAAAAATAGTTTGGGGTAGATTTGTCACAAATGTACCAGTTTGGGGTTTTTTATGGTCAAAAAAATAGTTTGGAGTAAAATTGTTACAAATGTACCAGTTTAGGATTTTTCGTGGTATTAACCCATGATAAATTTACCCTCAATTACCACATGTCATCAAACATAGCAATTTGATAGCAAAATTTAACGGAAACTAATGGAGGGTAAATTTGTCACAGGTGTACCAGTTTGGGATTAAGTTTGGTGTAAAATTGTCACAGATGTACCAGTTTGGGATTTTTGATAGTGAAAAAATTAGTTCGAGTTAAAATTATCACAGACGCACCAGTTTTGGGTTTTTGATGGTTTGTGGTAAATTTGTCACGAGTGTACAAGTTTGAGATTTTTCGTGATATTAAGCCCTTTTTTTTTTCAATTTCTTGTATATAGCTACGATTTATGTGGATACATTCTGATGACAAATAAGATTTTCTTTTTATTTTTTTGAATTTGGGCAGACATAGGATTGATAAGCGGAGCAGTACTTTACATAAAGAAGGACTTGAAGATAAGATACGTGCGGGTTAAGTCCTGACGGGATTGTCAACATGTTCTCGCTCCTCGGGTCGGCGATGGCAAGGCGAACCTCCAACTGGATCGGCCGCCGCAACATGATCGTGTTTGCGGGGGCCATCTTCTTCACCGGGCCCCTCCTCATGGGGTTTGCCCCCAACTATGTCTCCTTCTTGTTAGGCCGCTTCGCCAGTGTCGGTGTCGGCTACGTCCTCTTGTTCAAAGTCTATATCGCCGAGGTCTTCCTTGCTTCTCTCACGGCTTCCTCGCCTCCTTCCATGAGGTATTGACTCATTTTCTTTTCTTTTTTTCTTCCTAATTTTGTAGCATCTTTTTCATGTTTTTATTTCTCATTAATATTTTGTCTTTTTCATCTTGAATGTGCATTCTTCATGTTCGCTTTTCAAACTTTAATTTATCCCGTAACAAGATCATTATGCCTCACTTGGTAAACAAAGGAAAGCATGTAGACTCTGAAAGTTAGTCGTGCACACAATTCTAGGGAATCTTATGTTTTGGAAATTCCTAGAAATTCCTAATTTTCCAGAGATAAAAGGAATAGAGTTTTTTAATATGATACTTCCACAATGCTTGTCATCAATTCTCATAATTTTAAATTACTATAAAATGTTTTAAATAAAAAAGGTTAATACCACAAAAAATCATAAACTGATACACATGTGACAAATTTAACATAAATTAATTTTTTGATTACGAAAAACCCCAAACTGGTACATCTATGATAAATTTACTCTTCATCGATTTTCGTTAAATTTTACCGTCAAAATGTTAAGTTGAATGGTACGTGACAGTTATCGGGTGTACCAGTTTGGGGTTTTACCCTCTGTTTATCACATGTGTACCGGTTTGTGATTTTTCGTAATGTTAATCCAAGTTAACGGAAACTAACGGGGGGTAAATTTGTCATAGGTGTACCAGTTTTGAGTTTTTTATGGTCAAAAAATTAGTTGGAGTAAATTTGTCATAAGTGTACCAATTTAGGATTTTTGGTGATAAAAAAATTAGTTTGGGGTAAATTTGTCGCGGGTATACCAATTTGAAATTTTTTGTGATATTAACTCAAATAAAAAAATGGACTATACTTACTAAATTTTCCAAAACACAATGTCTCCAAATATCTCTTACAATTATAAGAATCCTCAGCACATTGACAAGTAGTATTATGTCTTTACATGTTATTTGAAAAACTAAAGGTAGGTTAATGAAATTTACTTCGCAACCAGCTAAGCAATCAATGGCTCTAACTTCGGAAAATTTTGAACCAGATACTGAATCCATATTTTCACATAATGCACGCCTAATTACCATGGATTCCCAGCTCAAATTAGGGGTCCGCTCTAGAACATTTCGAACTATGATAGGTTCACCTTTATTCCATTGACTTCAGAAACATAGAAGCTCCTCTTCATCCAAAATCGCCCTTGATTCTGAACAATACAAGTAATTGTCAGTGTATCTTCTCTGGATGCGGATTTCTGTAGCATCTTATCCCCAATTTCAGAGCAATTATGCTTCTGAGTGGTATGTTCAATTTTGCCAATTTCCAGCAAGTTTCTTGCTCGCAACTCAAGCCTGCTTATCCAATCTTTATCATGTATGCGCTGAAGCTCTAATTTATGATTGCCACATCCACTCATCTCACTTGGAGCGCAATTGATGCTCCCATCAGTGCTAGCTTCCCATTCAATGGCCACCTGAAAGTTCAATCGAGTGTCATAAACAAAACATTCTAGGTATGATAAAAGATGATCTTAAATGCGTGAAAAGAAAAAAGAGATATACTCAAACTATGACATGTTCACCTTTAATCCAGTGACTTTGGAAGCATAGAAGCTCCTCTTCATCCAAAATTGCACTTGATGCCGGACAATACAAGTAATTGTCAGCAGAGTCGATGAAGAAGATGGCCCCCGCCAACACAATTGTGTAGGGGCAGCCGATCCAATGAGAGGTCCGCCCTGCCATTGCCGTTCCGAGGAGTGAGAACACGTTGAGGATCCCTTGACTTAACCTGCATGTTGAGAAATAATAAATGCGATGGTCTTTATCTGAAATTAATTTGCTTGGCTAAAAAAGAGAATAAATTTAATGATGTTTTTCAAAATAAGTATTCTTTTTTTCTTTTCTTTTTTTCATTTCCTATACATCAAATAAACGACCATTGGTGATAGATCTATCATTTTTATCAGTAATAAAGCTAGAAAAAAAAAGTGCAATGACTAAGATATAACCTAATTTATTTATTTTTTGCAACAAAATTAAGTTACAAAAAATTGATTCATTGTATGGAACATTGATTCGCAGAGATATATTTGCTTTAAATCCGATGACTTGGTTACACTAGTTATATAGTGCGCTCTCGGTACCTTAATTTGATTGATTATCAAATAAGTGTCACATGCAGTCCTTTATCCAATTATGAGTATTGAAAGTTCTTATCCACTAAATATCCATGCAATATTTTTATGTATATTATGATCTTAGTGGGTGACCTAAGTACCCAACCAGGCGAAATGACATAATCGAATCACAATCAAGGGAAACAACATAAAAGAATCGAAACCAACAAATCAAAGGCGGTAATAAAAGGTAAGTAAAATATAAAAGTGTGGAAAATAAGCTGATGCGATGTCGGATAAAGTATATTATTATGAATCCCAAGACATAATCCCCATGACAAGTTTGGCAAAGAATATAGACCGCCTCATTATTAAGCCCCGGGACATGAATCCCGTGAGCTAAGTCCCTAAAATTGAAATCGATGTTTAATTTTGACTAACAGAAATCTCCGGCTAAAAGATCTTCACTAATGATATGAAATGCTAAAGATGAACTATTCCCTAAAGGTACATCTAACATAAACGCTAACCAATTTTTTTATTATATATTTTTAATATCACTCTATTTTCTTTGTTTTTATTATTTCTATCCTTTTGCTTTTATTTTATTTTTAACCTCAAGAAGAACTATCCAGGAGATCAAATTACCCTAAAAACCAAGAAAAAGACAACATCCTAAACTATATGAAAACTCGATTAAGCCTATTACTGAAGCTCATTACTAAGACCTTACTATCCAATTGGGAACTCTACTTCTTTTATTAATATTCGTTTTTTTAAATTATTTTTCTTTCTCCTGCGATACTTGTCAGTCCAATTCTTTCTTAGTGCTTCTCATTAGTCCCTTAATCCCTTTGACCCAGAACCCTTTTCACCCTCAAGTTCAGGAAGCTCCCATCTCTTCAAAACCTTCGTTACACTTTCTTCCATTCTTGCTCAACTCACTCATCATTCTTCATCCATTCACTCATATCTGCACTGCCCGAACTCATATATTCACATCGTAGAACCCCGTGTATTCGGAAGTAAGCGTCATGGGCATACAAATAGAAGACATACACACCCAGAACGCATGTATTTGCATATACTGAAAATGCATTCACTTAAATGACACACTTACACAGGGAAGACACATTCAGCAAAGACAATCTGTGGGAGATATCTCATTGACTCTCACACAAGACTGATATAATTCTTCATTCCAGAATGTACCTAATGAATTCTCCAGCGATAACCATCAAGCTTTCGCGAATCAGCATGTCGACATTATCCGATAATTCCAGAGAACCTAGCTTAACACATGCAAACACGTGATGCATGTTGAAATCGAGATTCTCGGAAATCAACTGTAAAGTGACTGACAAACGAATTCATCTAGCCTATGCAAGATGAATCAATCAAACAGACGAGGTGATCTCGGTCGGATCTGGGGGTATGTTCATTAGTAATGAATGCGGTTCAGACATCTCAGCGGTCAATTAGTGGAAATCAAAACCGGTTCAACATGGAACTATCGCAGAGGAGTAGCAATCAGGGGTGTAAAACTCCGACATGTACGGTTTTCAAGCTAGCAGGAACTAGATTTCTTGGCCTCTGTTTTCATTCTCATACGTCTAAAACAGAAGATACTCAGTTCAATCTAGCAAAAGGTGAATTGCCTGCGGCGACAACCGACCGATGGGCTTCGAACGAAACGTCTTGAGAATGAAAAATGAATTCATCTAGCCTATGCAAAATGAATCAATCAAACAGACCAGGTGATCTCGGTCGGATCGGGGGGTATGTACATTAAAAGTAGTGCAAAGTAAAATCAAATCATCTTTTCCCTATCGAATGACACAAAATATTCTCCGGTTCATTTTCAAGTCTAAATATTTTCATTTTCTCTTGGAATACCCATTTTCGTGTTTTTTTACTCCCTGTCGTACTGTACTGTAAGGGCTCCCCTACTGCCCACGTGCCCCCCAAAAGATTACCTTTTCTTTCCCCTCTCTCACCCTCTCGCAATCAGACAAAGAAATCGCAAATTTCCTCCTCAATCCCACCATTTTTTATTTTCTGCCCGTTCAGTTTTTTTATCATTCCTCCTCCCTTTCTCCATCAATTTTAAAAAGCTTTTAAGAAACTATCGTCGTCGTCTGGGCTTTTGCTTTTCTTTCCCTAGATTCTCCTCTCTTGACTCTATCTCGCTCTCTATCACTTCTCCGATCAGATCTCCGGCAGCTCTGGCCGCCGCAGAAACTCCGATTCTCTCAGCTCGCTTATCCAAGACGATTGGCTCGGGAGGATCGGGGGGGGTCGTCGGTGAGTTCTCAAAACCCTTCCCGACCTAGATTTCCGGATCCTCCCTCCCCGGGGCAAATTCTCCCCCCCCAATCCGGACCGATTCCCGGATCCCCCACCTCCCCGTTCCCCACTTCCAGATCAATGGGTACTCGCTGTCGAAAGGGATCGGGATTATGCGGTATGTGTCCTTGTTCATTGCTCTGGCGAGCGACAGATCTGAGGAGGGGGGCTTTTCTTTCTTCTTTCTCCCTTTTGCTCCGGACTCGCGTGTCGCCGGCGTGTCTGGCGCGTTGATCACGTGTCGGATCTCCGACACGCGTTGACCGCGTGGACGAGCGTGTCCGCCGCGTGTCATGCGCCTCCGTCGAGAAAATATTAGGCAGGACTCGCATTCCACCGTGGCAAAAAACGAGTATCCCAGCGTGCGACACGTGTCTCCGGGCCCCACCCGGTCAGACCTCCAATATTTTGAAAATATAGCGCCTCTCTCCTCTCATCTCTCACACTCGCGCGCCCCAACCCCCCTCTCTCCTCGCGGCTCAGAACTTGGCGCTCCCTCCGATTCTTCCGACGCCGGCGCCTCCGCCTCCGCCTCCGACGCCGACGCCGACGCCGACGCCGACGCCGACGCTCCTCTACGCGCTCGCGCTCCCAACTTCTCTCTTCTCCCAGACGTGCCGCCTCCGACGCCTTTGCACTCTGAGAACTCGCGCTCCCTCCGACACCGCCTCCGACGCCCACGCCGACGCCTCCGCCGACCCCTCTGCCCCCAACCCTTGCCGACGCCTTCGCCCAACCCTTGCCGATGCCTCCGCGTCGGCCATGCCCTAGCCCTAGCCTCTGCCTCGACGCTCTGCATCCGCAGGCCCCGAAGAAGCGACGGTGGAAGGCGAAGCCGTAGCCAAAGGAGGAGCTCCACCACCACCAGCTGCAGCCGGCGGCGGCGGCGGCCAAGTCTTCGTCGTCGTCGTCGGCGATGGCCAGGGAGAAGAGGTCGCAGCAGCAGCACGCGATCGACGAGAAGTACGCCCGGCGGAAGTCCCTCGTCCAAGTCCTCTACGACTGGCTGGCCAACCACAACCTCCTCTGGCGTTCTCTCTCTTGCCGGTACTTCAAAGGCCTCCTATTTCTCTGTTCGCTGTTTTGCACAAGCTTAATTTCTCTTTATATCAATATTAGTTGGTGAATGTAAGTGGAGTCGCACAAGGTTCTCTCGGATGAGTTTGCAATAGCTGGTGCTGTGCGTGAGTTTGGTGGGCTGGAAGTTATTTTGGACATGATCCAGGTGAAAAATTTTTTGCAACAGCGAGTCCTCTGCTTACCGAAGATGTCCTCTGCTTACCGAAGATGTCCTTGTGCGGGGATCTGTGAAGTGTAGATATGTGCCTACGGATTTGCATTTTTTAGCAAAATGAAAAATTTCCCTTTTGTGGATATGTACAGAGTGTTTTTAGATTCTCTGGACATCTGCTGATAATAGTGTGCATTCTGATTTTGTATTCTGCTATTCTATTCATTTCATATTCCAGAACTTGGCTTTGGACATTGAAACATTAGTTTTTTGTTAGCTTACGAAAATAGTGTAGGAAATAGAGTATGGCTGTGGGGAATTTTATGCTTACTTGTGTATTCATATCACTAGAGGACTATGAGGTACTCCATTTGGTCATCTAAAGTTTCAATTGAATGGTTCTTTGAACCAAAAAATTTGACTTAAGAAAGGAAAGAGCTTCTTGTGCTACAGTTGTTAGCCAAGATCGTTCTGAAATTTTTTGTCCTGGTTTTCCTGAAATTTTTTGATACTATGGTTGCATAAAATCAGTCTCTAAGTCAAATATGACTACAGAAAATCAGAAGCACTACGAAGTTTCTACATGCATCCGTATATCCAAAAGAGTTTGCTGTACATGCAGGGCAGAGGACTTCTATGGAATGTTATGGATGAGAATGACGGTAAAGCCTTTTCAGTTATTTGCTAGCATTTTTTTTCAGGTCTTACAGATATTTGACTTTGCAGGTTTAAAAGGAGGAGAAACCGCTCGTGTTGGTTCCTCTTGTGGTGCCAGTGTTTGCTGCGATCACCAAAATGGGCAGATTATTTGCAACACGGTAAATTGTAAATCAGCTGGAGAAGATTCAGAAAGTTTGGTCAATGCTGGGCGATCAAGAGTGCTAGAGATGTCCCCAAATGATGAAGTGGAAGGAGAGATACTCTATTTTCAACGTAGATTGCTTGGCAATGCAATTGATAGAAAACGATATAGTGGTTTGTTTTTCTTCTCCTTTATCTGATTCATTGCTTGGTTTGAGTATGAACTTTGTTTTTTCTTTCATATGATGTATCTTTATCGATTATGGAACTGTGACATTGACTAATTGTTTCCTTTCTGGAATGTACATGCAGATAATTTGATTAATAAGATTAGAAAGGATCTGCCACAAGAGATTGATTCAGCTCATGGTCAAGTATGGGATGCCGTGCTTGTCAACAAATATCTTTGTGAGCTCCGAGTGGCAAAGAAGCTGGGTAGGAAGGAGCGGAAGCACAAGGAAGCCCAGGCTGTTCTTGCTGCTGCTACTGCTGCTGCAGCAGCTTCATCTAGGATTTCTTCACTCAGGAAAGATTTGCTTGATGGATCAGCGAATCAGGAGGTTATTGGCATTATCTTGGAAATTACTTTAATGGTTGATGGAGGGGAAAATGCTTTGAAGAGCCTGGAGCTTCAACAGATTCACCATCGAAGGCATCATATGCAGCCGGTCACTGTTTGATAGGAGGAGAAAATTAGAATTCATAGGAAGAGAGAGAGAGAGAGGGAGGGAGGGATCCTAGAGAAGTGTAAATGGCTGGTGTCCAGTATGTTTTGCTTGTTTCATTAAATGCGTATTGAATTGATTTGTCACTAGTATACCCTGAATATATGCAATTTTGATCATAGATCTTGAACATACCATGGAACTATATTTCTTTTTCTGGGCGCAACCAGAACGTAACTAGGAAAATCATGTGTCTGGTATGCTTATTCTAATTTGGCAGAAGCACATGAGTGGGGTAATGCTTAATAACAAGGTAGGCAAGGGGGAGGGGAAGAACATCAGTTTGTCAATCGATGCGGGGTAGATGGTTTTTGTCCCCAAAATGGACACGATGTTTCGGAAGAAATTGGAACCCACAAATATGAAGCTTGATACTCTATATTGATTTGCTCGGCTAATTATTTATATGGATGGAGGAAAAGCCACCAAATTCCAACACAAACTTGCCAAGTGAAAGGAACGAAAGACGGAAAACCTCGTAACCATAGAAATGTTGTGGACATTTGAAAATTTTCTATATGAACGATCAAACCCATTTCTCAATTCAATAGAAGCTAAAAGAGTTGAATAAGGTCCCAAATAATGAGAGATATTTAAAAAGCGAGTCTAATTATGCTTATTTGTAGTCCTAAATGGAATGAAACAATGTAAGGATTCATAAGTAAATATAATATGTATTTCGATACGCTCAAATGATCCCTTCTCATGAGAATGTATATTACCCTATTCCTGGCCTGTCCGGAACATCTGAAAATGCTTACAGTCTAATTTGGTGAGGAGAGAAGTCACTCAATTAACCCCATTTTCTTGATTGATGGCCAATTATGAACCCTACTTTCTTTTTTTTGGTCGGAAAAACTCTACTTGAGTGCCTCAGAGTTCGCTTCGCATGACAAAAAGGTGCAACGCTCAATCAAAACAATCGTTCACTTGTCGACCAAATTGTTTGATCTGGCTGAATAAAAGCTTACCGCTTGAACAGAAAAACTCGTTCCGTTACCAATGTAGTGACTCACGTATCTTTCAGCCAACAAGAGAAAATGAATGAGCACAATTCCGAACATCAACATCCAAATCCCACAAAAAGCCAGCGCACATTGTAAAGTACTGCAAGGAGCATTCCAGCAAATTGACTTTGGCACAACTGCTGAATATTGATACTGTAACTATGTACATGCACTAAACTTTACATGCACACTAAAGGATTCTATCTGTGTTAATTTTGGGCATTCAAGTACAAGCAGCAGTGGATGGCGATAAGCCTCTATAGCTTTTGTTACGCCCACCAACCACCCATCATACCCCAGGCGAGCAATGTGAATCGACAAGAAGAATTGAATAAACCCTGACCTCCTGTACACTCTGAACTCTTCTCAATGAATGTACAGCAATGGTGCCAAAATTTCACGGTCAAAACCAAGCAAACCGTTGGCTCCCTTCAGGGTGTAAGTGCAATGATCCCTGACCAGGCTGGGCATGATCTCACCGTTAATGCCTTGATTTCCTTTTTCATGATCACCCAAAGGCAATAACTTCTGCCGCACAAGCTTCGTTTACCCGTGACAGACACCAAGAAGCCTTCAGCAAGCGACTCGCAAACCAGAAGGAGACTGTTCTTTGACTAGCCACCATCTTCCAATGGCTCGCTCGAACCATCCTGGCTTATCCACTTATCCTTTGGGATGCTGTTTGATGGTACATATGCATAACCTTTAGGTAACATCTTATTCTTCAAGTCGGCTTGATCAGAAGTCATTACCAGCTCTTTCTCGAAAGTCTCTGGATGCTGAGTCAGAATGCGTAGAGAGAAATGAAAAACCAGGTCCTCGCTACGGAAACATGCAGTTGAAGTGAGACAAACAAAGGCGAAATTATACCTTCTTATACCTCGACCTCACTTCTCCATCATTCAGAATATTTCAAGATGCAACTGGTGGCCTCTGAGGAATGTGTTTCCCAGAGAATGGAGCCTTTTCTGTTGGCTTCCGGATCACAATAGGCTGTGATCCAGGGCTGCCATCAGTCTTTTGGGCAGTGCTGGTGTGAGAAGGAACTTTACTTCGTCGCTTGATAGAAATTGAGCTATCCACGGTCATTTCATTCGATTTCTGAACTGCTTCATTGCCAGATCTGTAGTTCAGCGATGTGGTGGCAGATTCAGAGCTGGCATCAGTAGCTAAGAAAGGACCTTGAACCGGCATAGAACGAGCAACCGTGTTTCTCTTCAACGCAAGTATCTCGTGCATGGAAAGCACAATTTCCCGCTGCAAACATCCTGTCAATGTAAAGGGTCACAACTAAAGGTTCAACAAAATCATGGACGGACAGTTCGGAGAACATGCCAAATCCTAGGAGGTTAACAATGAAGGATGGACTCCGCAGGATTGTATATAAAAATAAAGGTAGGCATGCCACAAAAGACTGATATAATCCCAGGACACTCACATTCCAACTTTAGGATATCAAATATTCTAAGTTAACAAGATCTGCAAGTATCAATTCGCAAAAACAATAAATAGAAAGAAAAGTTTCAAAGGAATTTCTTTCACCAATTATAGGAGTTAACAATTCTCCTGTTGCATGTAAAGCCATATCCATGCAAAAAAGATCCCCCACCATCGCTAGCAAAGCTGGCTTCTCCTTGCTTAGCTGAAAATTTGATTCTAGAGACCCTTTTTGCAGGATTTAAGAATGTGGAATGCCAACTTAGCCAAATCTACATTCAGAACGATCTTGGCTAACAACTGTAGCACAAGAAGCTCTTTCCTTTCTTAAGTCAAATTTTTTGGTTCAAAGAACCATTCAATTGAAACTTTAGATGACCAAATGGAGTACCTCATAGTCCTCTAGTGATATGAATACACAAGTAAGCATAAAATTCCCCACAGCCATACTCTATTTCCTACACTATTTTCGTAAGCTAACAAAAAACTAATGTTTCAATGTCCAAAGCCAAGTTCTGGAATATGAAATGAATAGAATAGCAGAATACAAAATCAGAATGCACACTATTATCAGCAGATGTCCAGAGAATCTAAAAACACTCTGTACATATCCACAAAAGGGAAATTTTTCATTTTGCTAAAAAATGCAAATCCGTAGGCACATATCTACACTTCACAGATCCCCGCACAAGGACATCTTCGGTAAGCAGAGGACATCTTCGGTAAGCAGAGGACTCGCTGTTGCAAAAATTTTTTCACCTGGATCATGTCCAAAATAACTTCCAGCCCACCAAACTCACGCACAGCACCAGCTATTGCAAACTCATCCGAGAGAACCTTGTGCGACTCCACTTACATTCACCAACTAATATTGATATAAAGAGAAATTAAGCTTGTGCAAAACAGCGAACAGAGAAATAGGAGGCCTTTGAAGTACCGGCAAGAGAGAGAACGCCAGAGGAGGTTGTGGTTGGCCAGCCAGTCGTAGAGGACTTGGACGAGGGACTTCCGCCGGGCGTACTTCTCGTCGATCGCGTGCTGCTGCTGCGACCTCTTCTCCCTGGCCATCGCCGACGACGACGACGAAGACTTGGCCGCCGCCGCCGCCGGCTGCAGCTGGTGGTGGTGGAGCTCCTCCTTTGGCTACGGCTTCGCCTTCCACCGTCGCTTCTTCGGGGCCTGCGGATGCAGAGCGTCGAGGCAGAGGCTAGGGCTAGGGCATGGCCGACGCGGAGGCATCGGCAAGGGTTGGGCGAAGGCGTCGGCAAGGGTTGGGGGCAGAGGGGTCGGCGGAGGCGTCGGCGTGGGCGTCGGAGGCGGTGTCGGAGGGAGCGCGAGTTCTCAGAGTGCAAAGGCGTCGGAGGCGGCACGTCTGGGAGAAGAGAGAAGTTGGGAGCGCGAGCGCGTAGAGGAGCGTCGGCGTCGGCGTCGGCGTCGGCGTCGGAGGCGGAGGCGGAGGCGCCGGCGTCGGAAGAATCGGAGGGAGCGCCAAGTTCTGAGCCGGGAGGAGAGAGGGGGGTTGGGGCGCGCGAGTGTGAGAGATGAGAGGAGAGAGGCGCTATATTTTCAAAATATTGGAGGTCTGACCGGGTGGGGCCCGGAGACACGTGTCGCACGCTGGGATACTCGTTTTTTGCCACGGTGGAATGCGAGTCCTGCCTAATATTTTCTCGCCTCCGGAACGTGTCGGTGCAACATAGGTCTTGTCGTTAAACTTCACGTGACTTGTTGACTTCCAAAAGAAAGACCTCCGCAGATTCTTCTCAAATCCCATTTTAGAGTGGTCCCAAAAGAGTAGGATCACCAACGTTCTCTCCTTGGGCTGCACTCTGAGCCTGAGAGTGATCCATCATGAGCAGCTGTGTGTAGTCGGGAAGACTGAAAATAAAAGCCTAACTCCACCTGACATATCACGCGAAGATGACAAACTTAAGCGTACCTTAACCCATATGATTCCTGCCGGCAGATGCTATAAGAGACTCTGATTTTTACGGAGTGTTAAGCCCTTCTTCTTTAGAAAGCGATACCAATTCTTACAGATCAAGAATGGAGCAACCGTATGATGACTCTGGAGTTTCACTCTCTTATCAGCCCGAGAAGCTTGAACCTGATAGTCACAACCTCGAAAATTCTGGTGAATGAATCTTTCTTTAGTGAACTTTTGATATTGGGTTTCGAGATAAAGCAACCTGTTTTGATTGTATGATGTTTGCGTTAAAATATGTTGTTGGATTTTTCTTTTGCACTCCGCTGAATAAAGGTGTGTGAACTGTATATGAATACCACGGTGAGCTTTAACCGCAACACCGGATGTAGAAGTGCAATTCAACTGTTAACTTGGTTAATTGTATAACTTTCGCTCCGAGTCAGTCCTGGAAGTTTAAATTTTGGAGAAAGTGCCCTGTTTAGAACTCAGCTTACTATTTGTTTCTGCATCTGTTGAAACATGACCATGCGTCTGAGTCAGTGTGGGTGTTAACATAATGGCCTTTGATAACCGAGCAAAACAATGTCTCAGAACCGGTTGTAACAAGCAGTTTCAAAGGTGATGGGGTTCGTTCGTTCTATTTGATGAATGGCATGAGCAATAATATATAACGCATCTTTCATTGCAACTTCCATAAACTACTGCCTTGTTGCTTTCAACAATCATTCACTATTGGATTATCTGCAGATGAAGTAAATGATTCTCCAATCGAGGAAGTGAGATTGACTGTTTCGATTAAGGACGAGCCGACCTTGCCCTGCTTGACATTTTAAACATGGTTTCTGGGAATCACCGCATGCGCAGCTCTGTCTTTTTTAAATCAGTTCTTCAGCTTCCGCCAAAACTCGCTCTCCTTGACGTCAGTTTCCGCTCAGATTGCCATACTTCCCCTGGGAAAATTTATGGCGGCAGTTCTACCGAAGAAAGTGTTTCGCGTCCCAGGGACTAAATGGTCTTTCTCATTGAATCTAGGGCCCTTCAACTTGAAGGAACATGTCCTCATAACCATATTCGCCAATGCGGGCTCGGGCGGCGTGTACGCCATCAACATCGTCACCATTGTCATGACCTTTTATCGCCGTTATATTAATCCTCTAGCAGCCATGCTGCTGACACTAACTACACAGGTATATTCATTAGTCATCACTCTTGGCCTGGGCTTTGACAATCAGTAGTGTTGATGTTTTGTTGCTCTGTCTACAAGCTACTGTGATTATTGACCTTCCATGATGGAACAAAATGTACGAAAAATTGCAGATGCTTGGATATGGGTGGGCGGGGATTTTCCGGAAATTCCTTGTTGATTCACCATACATGTGGTGGCCAGCAAACCTGGTTCAGGTCTCTCTCTTCAGGTATGCCTAGAAGACGGCTTTATTTTCTTCTTTCTCTGCAGTTACTTCTTTCGTTGACAAGAGTCGACTTTCGTTGGACTTTTAGGGCGCTGCATGAGGAGGAGGTCAGGCCCAAAAGAGCATTGACAAGGCTGCAGTTCTTCCTTGTAGTCCTCGTATCGAGTTGCGCATACTATGTTGTCCCAAACTATTTGTTTCCATCCATAACTGCCTTATCCTTTGTTTGTTGGATATGGAAGGACTCGGTCACAGCACAAATAATCGGCTCCGGACGTAGTGGTCTCGGTATTGGCTCCTTTGCCCTGGATTGGGCTACCGTTGCTGCCTTCAATGGATCTCTGTTAGCCTACCCAGGGTTTGCAATTATAAACATAATCGTCGGTTTCTTCCTCACAGTCTACGTGTTAATCCCTATTGCCTACTGGACCAACGCCTTCGAAGCCAAGCGGTTCCCCATTATCTCACCGCACATTTTTGATTCGAACGGACGAGAATACAACATTGGATTAGTTCTGAATGAGACAAACTTCGAATTCAATCAGCAAGGATATGATGACTACAGTAAAGTTCACCTGAGTGTCTTCTTCGCTTTTGTTTATGGATTGAGCTTTGCGACCTTGGCAGCTACTGTATCTCATGTAGCTCTCTTCCATGGCAGGTGAATGCTTTTAACTCTTTGTACTGGTCACTGAGTATCACTAGATGGATAGAGAACTACCTCTATTCTTTCTGTCATTCACCTGCAAAATAAATCAACAAATTCTACAAAACTGTTGCAATAAAACAGAATAGCTTTTAGAAATTGACTGATAAAAACCATGTGGCTTACAAAATTGGTGGCACACATACTTGCGGAGCAGTGAGAATGAATCATCTCAAAAGCGGATTCTAACATTCCATTTACAGGATTATTTGGCAATAAACAAAGGCAACTTTTCGAGATAAGTTCGATGACGTGCATACTAGACTGATGAAGAAGAACTATGATGCTGTCCCACAATGGCGGTTCTATTCATTGTCGCTGATAATGATCGGACTCGCCATGGTTGCTTGTGAAGGATTTGGCAGACAGCTTCAACGTCCGTTCTGGGGAGTCATGCTAGCAATTGGTATAGTTCTATTCTTTATGTTGCCGATTGGAGTAATCACAGCCACCACAAACCAGGTATAGTCAATATAAGTCGCTTTCAATCTTCTATGTAAATCTCCTCTTGCTATTGATGAGACGTCGCCTTTCATGATCAGCAACCTGGATTGAATGTCATCTCGGAGCTGATAATCGGTTACATGTATCCTGGAAGGCCTCTGGCGAATGTTGTATTCAAGACATATGGTTATGTAAGCCTGGTGCAGGCGATAACTTTTCTTTCAGACTTTAAGTTGGGCAATTACATGAAAGTTCCACCAAAGTCTATGTTCATTGTTCAGGTAACTTCCGAGTGTCAATATTTACCATTACCATGTCTCATCTTATGTTTAGTACTGTTGTCAGATAATTATACACATTCAATAGTAGGAACTAACATTGACTTATTTCTCCTGAATGAAGCTAGTGGGAATGGTAGTTGCATCTTCAGTCTACTTTGGCACGCCTGGTGGCTCCTCACATCTGTGGATTACTTGTGCGATCTGTCCAAATTGCCTGTGGGAAGCCAGTGGATGTGCCCTGGGTACGATGTATTTTGCAATGCCTCCATCATTTGGGGCGTGGTTGGACCACTCAGGATGTTTGGCCGCCTAGGGCTATATGTCAAGATGAACTATTTCTTTCTCATCGGACTTCTCGCTCCAGTCCCGGTCTGGATCCTCTCTCGAATGTTTCCTGAGAAGAAATGGATAAGGCTCATCAACATGCCTATCATAATAAGTGGCGCGGGGAACATGCTACAAGCCACGGCAGTGAACTACGTATGTTGGATAACCATCGGAGTTTTCTTCAACATATATGTGTACAGGAGGTACAAAAGTTGGTGGGCAAGGCACAACTACATTTTGTCTTCTGGGCTTGATGCCGGTGTCGCCTTCATGGCCATTCTTTGCTATTTCACATTGCAGATTAGGGACATTAATGGAATGAGGTGGTGGGGCCTGGAATTGGATGATCACTGCCCTCGCTAGTTGTCCTACTGCTCCGGGCATTCAGGTTAAGGATTGCCCCATTTTTCATTGATCGGAGGACATCTCAAGTTCTTCGCTGATATGCAATGTCAAGTGGAAAAAGATCTGTACTACTCACTACACGCTCATTTTCTAGAGATACTTATACTGTTTAGTCTTCATGTGGAATTGAAGAAAATGAAATTGAACTCGTGGTGTGGATAGATCTTTTGCCCTTATTTTTCACTACAGCCATAAATTTGATGAACCAAACGGCTTCATAAGTCAATAACCATGTTGAAGAGAATGAGACTGTAGAAGTCGAACCAAAAAACGAAAACTCATGCTTCTGCTGACATTATCCTAATATCATTCAGCTTAACAATCTACATCACGGGATACTTTACATAATGCCAATCTTGCTGTAGTTTTGGCAAGCAATTAAACATTAGTCCGTCTTGACAAGAAAACTGTATCAAGAGGGTCCATTTGAAGATGTGCAAAGACCGGGAGCTAACGAAAATTAAGAACAGAATTGCTGCTGCTCGTGTTTTGGAGAAACAGAAGGTGATAGTTTGATTTTGACACCCCCAAAGTACTGAAGCAGAAATGGAAAACGTATGTCTTTCTTGCTCTTAAATGGAGACTCTCTTTTACGGAGAAATTTCCATTTTGCTTTCTTTTGCTTGAAGGACTTTGAACCGGAATTTTATGAAATGCCTCGTCTTCTTTCCAGGGTGCACACAAGAAGGATCCTCTTGAGAATATGCAATTTGTAGGCCTGGCTTATAACATGTTCTCGTTCATTGAGGAACCGGTGGGCGAGTACTTGGAAAACGGTCGGATCCAATGTTTCTTGTCCAAATTTGCAGTGAAATCAATTATCATAAATTGCTTTTAACAACTTCATTAAGGGAGAAAAACAAGAATGAATGATTATAATGTGTCAGACACTATGCAATGGTGCAGAAGTTTAGATACCATCCTTGGCACGTTAGAAACTATTGATTAGTTTATCTATTTGGTTAGAAACTCTAGTAAGATAGGCCTAACATACGTGTAGAATTTAAATATTGTCGACCCTGCTAGGAATTGACAAACGTGTGTTGACATGTTTAATGTGTAGAAATGGGTTTAAGGGTATATTGATGTGTTTAATTTTATCTAAAATCATGTTGACGCAACCAACGTGTTAAACTGTTCAATTAGACGTGTCTAAGAATGTCATAAATGGGTTGAAAGGATCAATCAACAAATGCCACGTTTGCTCTTTGTAAATGATTGGGTCGACCCGTCCTTTTCATGACACGAACATAATTAAGCTCAGAACCGAGCACTCTTAATCAACTGCATGACGTGTAAATAAGTCATGTCAAAAATCGCTAACTGTAGGTGTTGGCGGTGAATTCTGTGTCATCAAATACATAAATTTCAACACTTTACAATAAAATTATAGCGCAGCAAAACATAGTTACAAGACAACCAACACACTCCACCAAACCGACATTTATTCCAAAGATGTGTTGTTTGTTCGGTTTAGTTTTCTAACTTTTCCTTGATGCAATGAAGTCCCCTTAACTTGCACATTATTGCAATCGAATTTTCCCGTTGCTAACATTGTTGTTGCGACGTCGTCTCAATTTCTATTGTTGGAAAAAGAAATAGAAAAAGGGAATGCGGTATGTTCGTATGATGTTGAGGTCTCATGCTATCCTGTTCGTTTCTTGTCCGCTTCAATTCGGAAAAACCAAAGAAAGGTTCATCTACAAATGGAAATATCGACAGACATTGAAACATTAGAATATCACACTGTTCATGACTGAGATTGCAAAAGAAAAGCATTGAACGTATCCAGTCGGTTTAAGGGATAACCATTCAGATCATACTGTTCATGATACGATAATTTGACATCACCCACTAGGGCCACACCTCTTCAGAGTACATACTGGAGATTACATGCGAATGTGCGCCTTGAAGGGAAGGATAGGGATGGGCATAATAATGAAGCTTGTGATGCAAAACTGAAATAATCCCATCAAAACTAGATGATAGATTACTTCAGATTTTCTGTCTTTTTATCTTATCATGACTTGTTGACTTCGGAAAGAGGAATCTTTGCAGATTTCTCTCAATTCCCATTCAACAGCAACTTAGACAGGTCCCAAGAGAATCAGATCACCAACGTTCACTCTTTGGACTGTACCGTGAGTCTGAGAGTAATCCATCACGACCTGCTGTATAGTAGAGACAGAAAACTGAAAATGAAAGATTCAATCAACCCGACATTATCAATTGAATCCATGCCAAGATGACAAACATTAGCGTACCTTTAACGCATGTTTCTTCCTTAGAAAGTGAAAAACAAAATTGTCACTGATCAAGAAATGGAGCAACCGGATGATGACTCTGGAGTTTCACTCTCTTATCAGCCCAAGAAGCTTGAACCTGATAGTCACAACCTTAAAATTCTGGTGAATGAATCTTTCTTTAGTAAACTTTTGATGCTGGGGTTCAAGATAAAGCAACTTCTTTTTGTTGTACGATGTTCGTGTTGAATAATGTTTTCAGATTTTCTTTGTACTCTGCTAAATATAATGTGTCTGGTCTATATATGAATACCACATAAGTTTTAACGGCAACACCGACTGAAGCAGAAGTGCAATTTTACTGCGAACTTGGTTTTTAGTATAATATTCGCCGCAAGTCAGCTGTGGTAGTTTGAATTTCAGAGAAAGCACCCTGCTCAGAAGTCAACTTGCAATTTGCTTCTGCATCTGTTGAAACATGACTAAGCCTCTGAGTTGTGTGCGTGTTAACATAATGGCCTTTGATAACTGAGCAAAAGCATGTCTCAGAACCAGTTGTAACGAGCAGTTCCAAAGGTGAAGGGATATAAAGACTCAGCACAAATTTCCGGTATTTACCGACCAAATGAAACTCAACTCGCAGATTTCGAGGAGTTCACTGTGCGGCTGCTTCGTGGAGTCCTCGGGCGGCTCCCTTCAACAACCCGCTGACGGCCACTGCAAGAGCTGCGAGAGAAACCTACCATTTTTCTACTGGACCCTCCTATGTCCAGCTACCATGCAGGCTAAGGAATAGAGAAACAGGTCCCCAAGCATTTCTTTAGGGAGCTTTTAATTTGTTTTGTATTGGCCATCTTTCCTCTTGTTCGTCCAACCTTGGTGAGTCGAACTCTTGAATTTAATCGAGCTGTCAAAGTTAGATATTTATCCAATCGGGGTCGGGCTCCGTGAAATGACTAAAACTTGAGATATAATTTAATAGAAGCTTTAATAAGATAGGTCTAACATATGCATAGGATTAAATTATTCTTGACCCTACTAGGAATTGACAAACGTTTATTGACGTGTTTAATGTGTAGAGATGTGTTTAAATGCATGTAAAATCATGTTGACACGATCAACATGCTAATTTGTTCAAATAGACCTGCCTAGTATGTCATAAGTGGGTTGAAAGGGTCATTAGGTAAACCCCATGTTTGCTATCTGTATTAATGATTGGGTTGACCCGTTCATGACGTGAACTTAATTAAGCTCCAACTGAGCACCCTCGATTAACTACATGACGTGTAAATAAGTCAAGTCCAAAATTGCTAATTTTAGGTGTTGCAGTGAGTTATGTAGCATCAAACACTTCACACTAAAACTAGTAGCACGACAAAGCATAGTTACAATACAACCAACAGATTACACCAAACGTTTACCTCCAAAGTAATGTTTGTACAATTTACTTTTCTAACTTTTCTTTTATGCAACGAAGTGCCTTATCTTGCAAAGTTTGTGCAATCAAATTTTTCCGTCACTAACATCTGTTATGTCAGTTTATATTTTTAGGGTAAAAAATAGATAAAGAGAATGCCGTTTGTCAAGATATTGAGGTACAATGCAATCCTGTTCGTTTCCTAGTAATTTTACTACTTGTCAGCTTCAACTTGGACGTGAGTGGCGACGTAGAGTGACATCCATCCTAGGCATTTCATAGGTGGAAGGAACTTGCCAAAAGCAGGACTGTGTCAAAAAAGCTACTCTCTCTGTGCTTGGACCATCGTAAAACCAATCATATTGGCTTAACTTCATCATGAAAACCGAAGAAAGGTTCATCTACGAATGAAAACATTGACAGACATTGACACACAGAATATAGTACTGTTCAAGATTGAGATTGCAAAAGAAAAGGAATAATGACAAATGGTCCCTGAATTTTGACTCAATGTACGATGTGATCACTGACCTTTCAATTTATTTAATGTGGTTCCTGAATTTTAGCCTAATGTGCAATTTGGTCATCAAACGTTTAATTTGTTTAATGTGATTCTTAAACTTTTGATACATGGTCAAACTTAAATTGATGGAAGGATAACATTGAATATTTTTCTAAGGTCCAGGGACTAGTTCGAACATGTATTAAAAGTTCAGGAACCACATTGAACAAATTAAAAGTTTAGGGATCACATTTCACATAAGGCTAAAGTTTAAGGTCTACATTGAATAAATTGAAAGTTCATAGATCACATTGTACATTGGGCTAAAGTCTAGAGATCATTTGTGTTATTTTTCCAAAATAAAAGTAGTAGATGTATCCAATCAGTTTACCATATAAACCATTCATACTATATTGTTGAAGATACGGTAATTTGACGTCGATCCACTCGGGCCACACCTCTCCAGTGTAAGGACAAGAGATTACATGTGAATGTGTGCCTTGAAGAAGACAAAGCTTGGGAGGCAAAATTGGAAATAGCCCCATCAATGCTAGTGGATATGGCCGTTCGGATCTTTTGTCTTTTAACGTAACGTTAACTTGCTAACTTCCAAAAGGAATCTTTGCAGATTCAGCCAAATACCCATTAACAACAACTTGGAGAGGTCCTCAAAGAATCAGATCACCAACACTCTCCTTGGACTGTACTCTTGAGTCTGAGAATGATCCTTCGTGAACAGCTGTCCGGTAGAGACCACTGAAAATGAAAGCATGACTCAACCTGACATATTGAGTGAATCCATGCGAAGATGACAAACTTGAACGTACCTTAACTTATATTTCTCTTGCCGGCAGATGCTATAAGAGACTATGATTTCTTTGGCGTGTTAAGACCTTCATTAGAAAGTGAAGAACAAAATTGTCACTGATCAAGAATGGAGCAACCGGATGATGACTCTGGAGTTTCACTCTCTTATCAGCCCAAGAAGCTTGAACCTGATAGTCACAAGCCCGAAAATGCTGGTGAATGAATCTTTCTCTAGTGAACTTTTGATGTTGGGTTTCGAGATAAAGCAACTTCTTTTCGTTGTATGATGTACGTGTTGATTTATGTTTTCGGGTTTTTCTTTGCACTCTGCTGAATAAAAGGTGTCTGATCTGTATAAGAATACCACATGAGTTTTCACGGCAAACACCGACTGAAGCAGAAGTGCAATTCAACTTCGAACTTGGTTATTAGTGTAATTTTTGCTGCGAGTCAGTCATGGGAGTTTAAATTTCAGAGAAAGTGCCCAGCTTAGAACTCAACTTTCCATTTGCTTATGCATCTGTTGAAACACGACCAAGCCTCTGAGTCAGTGTGCGTGTTACATACTGGCCTGTGATAACTGAGCAAAAGCATGTCTCAGAAACGGTTGTAACAAGCGGTTTTAAAGGTGAAGGGGTTCGTTCGTTCTGTTTGATGAACGGCATGAGCAATATTACATAATCCATCTTTCATTGGCACTTCCATAAACTACTGCCGAGTTGCATTCAACAATCATTCACTAGTGGATGATGAATTATCTGCAGATGAAGTGAATGATTCTCCAATTGAGGAAGTGAGGTTGACCGTTTCGATTAAGGACGATCCGACCTTGCCCTGCTTGACATTTCGAACATGGTTTCTAGGAATCACCGCATGTGCTACTCTGTCCTTTTTAAATCAGTTCTTCGGCTTCCGGCAAAACTCGCTCTCCTTGACGTCGGTTTCTGCTCAGATTGCCGTACTTCCTTTGGGAAAATTTATGGCAGCAGTTCTACCGAAGAAAGCTGTTCGTGTCCTAGGAACAAAATGGTCATTCTCATTGAATCCGGGACCCTTCAACTTGAAGGAACATGTCCTGATAACCATATTTGCCAACGCGGGCTCGAGCGGCGTGTACGCTATCAACATCATCACCATTGTCATGGCCTTTTATCACCGTCATATTCATCCTCTAGCAGCCATGTTGCTGACCCTGACTACACAGGTATATTTGTTAGTAATCACTCTTGGCCTGGGGTTTGACAATCATTCTTGTTGGTGTTTTCTTGCTCTGTCTACAAGCTACTGTGATTATCGACCTTCCATGATGGAACAAAATGTACGATAAATTGCAGATGCTTGGATATGGATGGGCGGGGATTTTCCGAAAGTTTCTCGTTGATTCACCATACATGTGGTGGCCAGCGAACCTGGTTCAAGTCTCTCTCTTCAGGTATGCCATCAAGACTTCTTTGTTTTCTTCATTCTTTACAGTTACTTCTTTCGTTGTCGTGAATCCACTTTCGTTGGACATTCAGGGCATTGCATGAGGAGGAGGTGAGGCCCAAAAAAGGATTGACAAGGCTGCAGTTCTTCCTCGTAGTCCTCATATTGAGTTTCGCGTACTATGTCGTTCCTAACTATCTGTTTCCATCCATAACTGCCCTATCCTTTGTATGTTGGATATGGAAGCACTCAGTCACAGCGCAAATAATCGGCTCCGGACGTCATGGTCTCGGTATTGGTTCCTTTGCCCTGGATTGGGCTACTGTTGCTGCCTGGAATGGATCTCCGTTAGCTTACCCGGGCTTTGCAATTATAAACATAAGCATCGGTTTCTTCCTCACGCTATATGTGTTAATCCCATTTGCCTACTGGACCAACGCATTCGAAGCCAAGCGGTTCCCCATTATCTCGTCGCACGTGTTTGATGCTAAGGGAGTCGATTATGATGTCGGATTAGTCCTGAACGAGACAAACTTCCAATTTAATCAGCATGGATATGATGATTACAGTAAAGTTCATCTGAGTATCTTCTTTGCTTTTGCTTATGGATTGAGCTTTGCGACCTTGGCAGCTACTGTATCTCATGTCGCTCTCTTCCATGGCAGGTGAATGCTTTTTACTCTTCTGCTGATTATGAGTATCACTAGATGGATAGAGAACTGCCTCTGTTCTTTCTTTTAATCACCTGCAAAATACATCAAGAAATCTTACAAAACTCTTGCAGTAAAACAGAATAGCATTTAGTGATTAAATGATAAAAACCGTGAGGTTTATAAAGTTGGTGGCGCACAAAGTTGCGGACCCGTGAGATGGTGAATTATCTCAAAATATTCTAACATTCCATTTACAGGACTATGTGGCAACAAACGAAGGCAACTTTTCGGGATAAGTTTGATGACGTGCATACTAGACTGATGAAGAAGAACTATGATGCTGTCCCACAATGGTGGTTCTATTCGCTGATGCTAGTAATGACCGGACTTGCCATGGTTGCTTGTGAAGGATTTGGCAGACAGCTTCAACTTCCGTACTGGGGAGTCCTCCTAGCACTTGGTTTAGCTGTATTCTTCCTGTTGCCAATTGGAGTAATCACGGCCACCACAAACCAGGTATAGTCAATAAAAATCACTTCGGATCTTCAGCAAAAATCTCCTCTCGTTATTGACGAGACATTGACTTTCATGTTCAGCAACCTGGATTGAACGTCATCACGGAGCTGATAATCGGTTTCATGTATCCTGGAAGGCCTCTGGCCAATGTGGCATTCAAGACATATGGTTATATAAGCATGGTGCAAGCGATAACTTTTCTCTCGGACTTTAAGTTGGGCCATTACATGAAAATCCCACCAAAGTCCATGTTCATTGTTCAGGTAATGTCCGAGTTTTGATATTTACCATTACCATGTTTCATATTATGCTTTTTTTTTTTTTGCTAAATATGTTTCATATTATGCTTAGTACTGTTTTCAGATGATTTTATACATTCAAATAGTAGAAACTAACATTGACTTATTTCTCCTGAATGAAGCTGGTGGGAACGTTAGTTGCATCTTCAGTCTACTTTGGTACGGCCTGGTGGCTCCTCACATCGGTGGATTACATCTGTGACCCGTCCAAATTGCCTGAGGGAAGCCCGTGGACGTGCCCGGGGTACGATGTATTTTACAATGCCTCCATCATTTGGGGCGTGGTGGGACCACTCAGGATGTTCGGCCGCCTTGGGCTTTATGCCAAGATGAACTATTTTTTTCTCATCGGAATTCTCGCTCCAGTCCCGGTCTGGATCCTCTCTCTAATGTTTCCAGAGAAGAAATGGATAAGGCTCATCAACATGCCTATCATCATAAGTGGCGCAGGGAATATGCCACTGGCAACATCAGTGAATTACATATGTTGGATAACCGTCGGAGTTTTCTTCAACATATATGTGTACAGGAGGTACAAAAGTTGGTGGGCTAGGCACAACTATATTTTGTCTGCTGGGCTCGATGCCGGCGTCGCCTTCATGGCGGTACTTTGCTATTTCACATTGCAGATTAGGGACATTAATGGGATGAGTTGGTGGGGCCTGGAATTGGATGATCACTGCCCTCTCGCTCATTGTCCAACCGCTCCAGGCATTCAGGTTAAACATTGCCCTGTTTTTCGTTGATCAGAGGACATCCGATATGCAATGTAAAGGGGAATAGTATCTGTACTTCTCACTACCTGGTCACTTTTTACAGATGCTTGTACTGTCAAATCTTCAAGTACAGAAGAAGAAAACGACATAGAACTTGTAGTGTGGATAGATCTTTCGCCCTCATTTTTCACTACAACCGTTAATTTGATGAACCAATCAGCATCATGAGTTAATATCCATGGTGAAGAGAATGAGAGTGTAGAAGCCAAACAAAAAAGAGAACACACCTGCTCCTGCTGACATTATCCTAATATCAGTGACCTTAACAATCTACATCATGGATCCTTTACATCATGCCAATTTTGCTGTAATTTTTGCCAGTAATTAAACATTAGTTGGTTTTGACAGACTTTCCTTTCTAATTTGAATCTGGTGTTAGCTAAACGAGAGTTGTGTACATAATCACAACAGTTAATGACTGAATTTGAGAATGGGCTGCAGACAAAGATGGAGAGGCCTAATGTTCCTAGATCTTCACGTTGTAAACCATTAGATCGTCGCAACATGCAATTGAAAGTCTTAACTGTATAATGTAGTTCATTTGCACACTCATTTCTTGACAAACACTTCGCGGTACAGTTTAGCCCAGGGCAATTCCTGTTCCGATGGACAAGAATATCATCCCAGGCCAGCATCGCGCACACTCAGCATTGAAAGGCTAACTTTGTGTGAGATGCCTGAAAGTGACCCTTCATTTTTGTTGGCACTAAAGAGAGAGAATCAGCTTTTCATTTTGTAAATCAGTACATCAATTAATTACTAAAATTGCTGTCCAGGACTATAAGGACAAACTAATCTTCAGGCAATTTTCTTCATTGGCCTGCAAATGTCTTATGTGCTTAACGCATGTAATGAGTGTGATAGTGCTTGGAGACTCGTTCTTTGGTAAGGTTGTTATAGCTTTGGAACATTTATCAAGAAAAACTAGCTTACAGTAAACATGGACCGACCGAACTACTGTGATTTCTGTATAGATGTTCTTGCCACGGTATGTTGTGGATCCACCAATTGACAATGGATTCTCCGACCGGAACTAGTTTATAGAAATCCCTCGGCAAGATGCCGTAGACAAGGAACAAGTAATCGACAGAGAACAGCGGGTAGAGGCAGAAGATGCATTCAAGTATGATCGAGGAATGTGAAAACGGGTCAGTGACTGTGTTGAGAAAATGAGAGCAAGTGGAAGGGAAAGAGTAGAATTTCTTTCGGAAAATGGTGGTCCTGCCGGATGTGGCACCAGAACATGCGGTTGTTGACACGACTAACGTTTTTTGTTTTTCAAGACAAATTCATGTGTCGTGATTTAGACCTGCGCTTTCAATTGCATAATCTATCCGAACGGACTCAGACAAACGTTTCAAGAGATTGTTAGTTCTATGTCTGAAATTTCCTTGCTCTGTTTTTCTCTCCATGCAGAGCTTGCGGCCTATGTCCCACGGAGGTCGCGACCTCCGGATGCTAGCCTCGCATGGCCATAGCTCTGTGGCTGCTTGAGTCAGGGCACTTCCATGGCCGTGGTGTTGGGGTTTGGCTCAGTCGGTTCGGTCAACTTCTGGCCACGAGTGAGAGGAGGTAGAGCGGGCCGTGAGTGAGAGGAGCTAGAGAACCACAAGCGAGGAGAGAGAGAGAGAGAGAGCGAGCATATCCGTAAGTTCGAAGCTCGAGCAACTATGGCTTAAAGCTCATTGATCTAGCTTTATTTGGGACAAAATTCACTCTCAACTCTATTTTATAAAAACTATTACACTTGAGGTCTGTCATTTGAAATTTCTCTATTACAAAGATAATACCGATTTATCTTTCTTTATATTTGAGGTCCTTCCAAGGGTCAATCAACCAAATCATTTAACGTTGATAGATAATTAACTAGCTAGATGATGCTTAATATTGTTGCATTCATCTTCTTCTTCTTCTTTTTCCTTGTAGTGATATTTTGTCTATAATTTATTTGTTAACCAAATATCCAATAAAGAACCGTAAACTATGCTTAACCATATTTGGTTTCTATACATCTCGAAGCATAATTGATATACCTTAACTTATTATGTATAAATCAATAAAATAATAACTTAGATCAAAAGGTTACAAATTTATGACCTCTCTATATATTAGTAAATTTGCAAAATAGTAACTTAGAACAAGAGATAGGAACCTCTAAGAGTTTATTTTTTTACGATTGATTAAATTTATATGATCAAGATAGAAAAAGGATGTTGCGCTGAAAAATATTTAAAAGTTGTTACAAAAACGATGTCAATGACGAGATTAGAAAAAATAGAATTATGTTAGTTGATGCTTTATATAATTAACACTTATAATGAATAGATGTTCTGTGTAACATAGTAGAACAATGTTATCTGTATCTTCTATGTGGATGCTATAGCCAAGAGACATGCAATTTGAGACCAATTTTTTCCCATTTTCGTTCCATATGCAGTTGCGTTTTTATTATTAAAAATTAAAGTTGTTCGTACATGACTCTGTGTTTACAAAATGTGGTTTAATTTGCTTCTGAAAAAGCATTGAGACGCAATATAAAACGCAACCCCATTTGCAACGCCCGTGACTGTCTACTAGTCTTTGAAAAGAGCCTATAAATGTTCGGGAGTGCTAATAACCATTAAGAACTCAATGAATAAGAGCATGTGAGCATGTCATGTTGTTCAACCTCACGCAACCTTTATATAGTAAATATATCCCTTCTTAGTGATAAGCGTGATACAATAATTCGACACCAACCCACTCGGACCACATATCTCTCTCTCTCTCTCTCTCTCTCTCTCTCTCTCTCTCTCTCTCTCTCTCTCTCTCTGGAGTACAAACTACATAATACATAGGAGTACGTGAGCATGTCATGTTGTTTAAACTTGCATGACCGTCATATAGTAATTATATCCCTTCTTAGTGACTAGCATGATCCGATAATTCGACACCAACCCACTTGGACCACACCTCTCTCTCTCTATAGAGTACATACTACAGAATACATAAGAGCACGTGAGAATGTCATGTTGTTGAATCTCGTGTGACCTTCATACAGTAAATATATCCCTTCGGGCCGACTCTACCTCGGGATCGTGACACTAGCACGATACCTTAATTCGACACCAACCCACTCGCGCCGCACCTACCCCTCTCTCTCTCTCTCTAGAGTACAGACTACAGAATACATGTGAATGTGTGACTTGAAGGGAAGGATAGGGATGCGGCAATTAATGAACACATGGAAGAAGACAAAAGCTTGGGGTGCAAAATTTCACAAGTCAAATAACCGCGTCACAACTCGCGGACGCAGCCGTTCAGATGACTTATTCACTTCCAACGAGGAATCTTTGCAGTTTCTTCTCAATTCCACTCGGCAGCAACTTGAGAGGGTCCCAAAAGAATCAGATCACCAACAATCTCTCCTTGGACTGTGCCTCCGTTTAGTACTCTGAGTTTGAGAGTGATCCATCATAAGCCGCTGTGCGCAGTAGAGACACTGAAAACGAAAGCAAAACAAAGTTGACATAGCAATAGAATCCATGCGGAGATGACAAACTTAAAAGTACCTTAACAAATATTCTTCTTGCCGGCAGATGCTCTATAGGAGACTATAATCTTTAAGGCGTGTTAAGCCTTTTTCCTTTAGAAAGTGAGAAACAAAATTTATCACTGATCAAGAGTGGAGCGACAGGATGACAACCGTGGAGTTTCACTCTCTTAGGGTGCGCATGAATACCATTCTGTGTCCGGGAGCTATTTCTGAATAGAAATGATTTTTTTTTATTCTGTGCCCGGAAATAATTTCTGAGTATTTGAAGGCGTTTGATAAACTGTCCAAAATTTCTATTCCTAGAGTAGAAAAGAACAGAAATGCGTTTGGTAACTACACAAAATTTATGTTCCCAAATAATATTTTAATAATATTTTGAATTGTTTAATTTTTTTTTTCTTTTTACCTATTTTCTTCTTTGGCCATGGCCGGTCGCCGGCGACCGGCCACAGCCCCGAGGCCGCGAGGGCGTCACGGCCCTCGCCGGCCCGGCGGAGGCTAGGGTCGCCCTTGCCGGCGAGGGCGAGGTTGGACCCTCGCCGCACGGGGAGGCGGCCTCGCCCGAGAGACGGCGAGGCTCGGCCTCGCCCGGATCTGGCGAGCCGAGCCTCGCCGTCGCGACCCACGGTGAAGCCGACCTCGCCGTGGGTCGCGACGGCGAGGCTCGGCCTCCCGATCGCCGTCTCTGGGCGAGGCCAACCTCGCCGTCTCGGCCAGACGGCGAGGCTCGACCTCGCTCGATCCGGGCGAGGCCGCCTCGCCCGGCGGCGAGGGTCCGCCCTCGCCCTCGCCGGCGAGGGCGACCCTCGCCTCCGCCAGCGGCTAGCGAGGGCCGTGACGCCCTCGCCGGCCCTGGGCTGTGGCCGGTCGCCGGCAGCCGGCCCAGCTAGGGAAGAACAACACAAAAATAAGAAAAAAAGAAAAAGAAAAAGAAAAAGAAGAAAAAAAACTGATTCTCAAAATTGTGCCGAGAAACAAGAAGCAACTTTTTTTTACTTCTTGTTTCTCTTCCAAAACTGTTTCTCGGCACAAATTTTTGCAAAAATATGCCCAGGAACAAAAAGTTTACCAAACGCATTTCTGTTCCCAAACTATTTCTGGGAACAAAAGAACAGAAATTTTCGCTATTTGGCACGTTACCAAACGGGCCCTTATCAGCCCAAGAAGCGTCAACCTAATGGTCACAATTTCGACAGTTCTGGTGAATGAATCTCTCTTTAGTGAACTTTTGATGTTGGGTTCCGACATAAAGCCACTTCTTTTCATTGAATGATGTTCCCGCTAAATTATATTCCTGCATTTTTCTTTGCTCTCTGCTGTATAAAAGGTGTCTGGTCTATCTATGAACACCACAGTAAGTTTCAACCGCAACAACGAATGAAGTAGAAGTGCAATTCAACGGTGAACTTGGTTATCAGTATTATTTTCGCAGCGAGCCAGCCATGGTAGTTTTAAAATTTTGAAGAAAGTGCCCTGCTTAGAACACAACTCACTATTTGCTTCTGTATCTGCTGAAACATGACCAAGTCTCTGAGTCAGTGTGCGTGTGTTAACGTAGAGGCCTTTTAATAATTGAGCAAAAGTATGTCTCAGAACTGGACTTAACAAGCAATCTCAAAGGTGATGGGGTTCCTTCGTTCCGTTAATGGCATGAGCAATAATACATAACCCACTTGTCATTAAAACTTTCATAAACTATTGCCGAGTTGCTTTCAACAATCATTCACTAGTGGAAATCAAAACCGGTTCAACATGGAACTATCGCAGACGAGTAGCAATCACGGGTGTAAAACTCCGACATGTACGGTTTTCGAGCTTGCAGGAACTAGATTTCTCGGCCCCTGTTTTCATTCCCATATATCTAAAACAGAAGATACTCAGTTCAATCTAGCAAAAGGTGAATTACCTGTGGCGACGACCGACCGATGGGCTTCAAACAAAACGGCTTGAGAATCTGCGAGGGACTCGATTGCGGCCCGCCGTTCGAACTCTCCAGCGATGGCGCTCCAAAAACAGGGACGAGCCGGGGAAATTCCTGAGCCAGTATCGAGAGCTTTCTAGGATGTGAATCGTAATCCAACCTTAGGAAATATCCCAGAAATCTCTTATATGATGAGAATCGATTCTGTCGCGTCAGTTAAGACGTTGAGAGCGGTCACCACGTCCTGTACGCCGGCCTATTCGCTTGGCTTCAAAGGAGAGATAGAGAGAGAGAGAGAGAGGTGTGGAAGAAGAGACTTATGGGCGTCAGTTGGCTATTCTCTCGGTTCGTTTTTGACTTGGCGAGTGGGGCGGGCTTTCTTATCCTCTTATCTGTAAATTTCGAAGTGTTCAACGTGTAAATAGAGGTCATCTCCCTCCAGTTCAATCTTATCCGTGAGCAGCAACTTCAATCCAATACATGCTAAATAATTTTGTCTTCTTGAATTGTGAACAGGGGTGATCGGTTCCCGGTCCGGTCCAATGGAACCGGTCACTTTTTTATTTTTTTCCCACTGTAATGAGAGAGATTGACGAATCTCAAGATATTGACGGAAGCGATAATGAGTGAAGAGTCATTGTTGTGGGACGATAAGGGGAAAGCATTGTACGTGGGTTTAATTCATATTTTATTAATATTTTTGAAGAAATAAAAAATAAAAAAAAGTATATGTAGTCAGTCTAATTTCCCTTTATAACCAAGAACTGGACCGTCTGGACACCGCTTTTACTTTTAGGAACCGAAAACCGGACTGACATTCCTAGGAACTGGACCTTACTGGCCGGTTCGATCCAGTTGGGGCGGTTTTCGGTTCGGACGGTCCATTTTGTATATCCCTAATTGTGAATATGTGCAAATTAAAATATTAGTAGGGCGATAAGATGCTACAAACAAACTAAATAATATCGTATAGAGTTTTTGCAACCGCAAATGATTAAAATGCCCAATACAAGATCATCATGCCTCACTTGGAAAACAAAAGAAAAGCATGTATAGTCCGAAAGTCAGTCGTGCGCACAAATCTAATTAATCTAATGTTTTTGGAAATGCCGAGAAATTCCTAATTTTCCAGAAATAAAAGGAATAGAGTTTTCTCTAGTGATAATTTCACGACGCTTGTCATCAATTCTCATAATTACTTCAGAATGTTTGAAATAAAGAATGGACCATCCAGCGTTTAAATTAGTTATTAGCAGCCGAACCCTAGCTTCTTTGTTTTTTTTTTGAGAGATTCTTCTATACAAGCCGCGGGAGCAAAGACATAAGAGAATACTACTCGACAATTTCCATAAGTCAGAGTTTCATGGAAAACATTTATCAAAGGAAAGAGGCATGGCTTCACCTTCACAGAAACAACAGTATCTTTCCTCGGTTTTGATGCACAAGTCTCCCCCTGCCAGTTAGACAATCGCAGCTTACAAAAAAACAAATTAAGCACAACAAGAACATATTTCATTGATTCCATCAGACGATTTTGAAAAAGAAAACATTAATATTCGCAAACCAGCAGATGCCATATTAATATATGGGCAAATACATCACGTCTCTGAGCAGCTCTCAGTAGATGTCCCTCCACTGATCTCTGCAGAATAGGAGCGGTTGCCCCACGTAAAACAGTTAGTATGATGTTCACCAAACCAAAATGCAAATCCCTAACGATGGGTGTGGCTAGTGTTATGGTTCAGCCAGCCCAGACGAAGATTAAAAAATGAAAAAAAAAAATACTGCAGGTTTTAGGCTCCATTCGTTTGGCAGAATTGTGAGAATGGCACAATGTTTTGGTATTCGGCTGAAATCTGAAAATATCTCGGAAAATATTTTTTGCATTTGATGTGAAAAATTTGATTTGATTTTCCTCCATGCACTACTTTTAATAATTTTTTTTTACCTTTTAGTATTGATTTTTAAAATAATTTTTAATTTTCTTTTTCTTTTTTTTACTTTCTTCTCCGGTTGGTCTTGCCAGATTCCGACGAGGTTGCCAGAGGTTGGCAAGGCACTAGCAACCTCAGGTGAGGCTCGAGCCTTGCCCAGCTTGCCGGATCTAGTGAGGCTCGAGCTTGCTTAGGGCCGGTTAGGTGAGCTTGGGCCTCATTAGATTCGGCAAGCTTGGCAAGGCTTGTGCTTTGCCTGAGGTCGTCAGACATTGATAAGGCTTGACCGCGTTGGAATCTGGCGAGGCTCAAGCTCACTTGTGGCCGGTCGTCGAACGCAGCAAGGAAGAAGAAAAGGGAAAAAAATTAAAAAAGAAAAATAAAAAACTCGATTTTTTTTAAAAAAGAAAAAAGAAACAATAATGAAAATGTATTTGGTGAAAGAAAGTGAGGAGAAAGAAGATATAAAAAATGATTTCCTCTCTCATTTTATCCACTTTTGAATGTGTTTTTCCCATTCAGGAAACTTTTTTTGCTTGCGCAGATTATTTTTTGTGAACCGAACGCCAGAAAATCCAGAAAGCATTTTCTTGGAAGCAAGCCCTGGCCCAATGGTCACCGATCCAATGACCCAATTTTCGAGGCCAAGGGCCCAAAATTGATTTCGTGTTGGGCCCTGGCCACATGGGCCCAATTAGGGATTTTTCTCCAAGGCCTAATCCCTCAACAAAATTTGTCTGGCCATCAAGTGCTCCATAACCTTACTGCTCCATGCAGAATGCATGCATCGTTTACCATCCGGAGCCCTACACCAGCTTTTCGACCGAATCGTCACGACAAAGCAATGATCTGCAGGAATTCCCCGAGCCGCGATAGGCAGTCAACATTGGCAAGCAGAATCAAGGGCACACTCTATGACTTAGCCACGACATTACATCATGTGCCAAGCAAACTCATTTAGACAACAATGTGCACATGACAAATTCATGGCCCTAATGATCTGCACTCCCTGTCAAAATGAAAGTCGCTATACCCGAGTTGCACAATTCTCATACAAATTTGCACTTTCATTTGTAGAACGGAAATCATTTAAACTATTGGGATACACGTCGCACTAGAAAAAAAGTAAAAATGACGCCATGTTTCTCTCCTTTGACACCATTTGGGGGGCGACTTCAGCCATGATTAGTCGCTATGAAAAAAATGACATGGATGTACAAGGTGCCAACGGACGGGCTTAACTTTTGAAAACTAGGGGAAAAATTATGAGAAGATCATCTATAGTACAGCACAAGGAACCCTTATCTTAGGACCACCTTTAAGTGGCTCTCCACTTGTTCTCTCACCTTCCACTGCAAATCATAACATTGCTCTGCTACGTTAGCAACTCGTTTTCATGAGTGCGATGTCAAACAGCAAAGGGAAAAATTGAAATGCCGAACAGAAGCTAAAACCACGTAGTTCTCTTACCTGCAACTCATTGATTTCTTCATCTGTCAGTGAACGCTCCATGGAGCGATAAGCAATCCTGTAGCAATGGCTGGTCATCCCTTTCTTGTTTGTGAAATTATCGATCAAGCATACCTGAGAGAAACCGTTCAAATCAGATCAAAGTATGCTTCAATGGCAGAGGAAAAAAACCAGCAGAAACAATAGGCAAGCCTTTCCCAAATTAGTTGACACGTTATAGGCACATTGAAGGTCATCCAGATGAAACCTCCTTAACAGAGATTTCATTATCTTATTCTAATCTCAGTTGGCAGAAACTTTTGCCTGATATAGTGGCTTATAATTCTCATTTTGTTGATGTCTAAGCCAACAACATATTTTCATCTCGACCATAATTCCTGTATGCATTCATACTCGAGAATCGGTATTTGTATGCTTATAAGTTATAGCTACCAAGCAACAAGTCATGAAGGCATGGGCAGAAAGAACGGGACAATTGGACAAAAGAGAAATCATCGTGGGTTAAATACTGTTCTATGCATAGTGAGTCCTATTTCCTCTGGTGATTAATGTGTTGAACCTGAAAATTAAAGGAAGACAAAATGATCTAGCAACAAGGTAAGTTTTTCTCTTTGCAGAAACTAGCGACAAATGGACCCAGGCAAACTAACTGCACCTTTATCATATATTTCTCCGAATATCATTACTCTTTCTTCAGTCTAGCCCTATAATAGTGGCTTTTTGCGAATTCCAGAATACTAAAAGTACTTAACCCAACAACAGCGAAGTAAAATGCAAGCAAGAAGCTTCGACAGTCCAAGTACAAGCTCCAAATTCCGTTTATCACGAAAATCCATCCAAGCAGAGTCTCAGAATTTTTTCAGAGACTTGCAATGATATCTACAAGAAGCAACGCTTAAAGAAGACATGTAGAAAAGAACAATGCTAGAATGCAAACCTCCTCAACAAGATCGCCGGCAATGCCTCTGATCACTTCACACAGGTTGTTTTCAGTAAAAGACTCGTTGATCCAGAAGCTCATGTCCTTGTAACAAGGAGGAAACTGCCACAAGAAAATTATTTCCATAGATAAAATTGTAGAAGGATCTCCATGCTAGGTTACTAACTAAAGTAAACGATAGCTCTTCCAACTTAATTGTGCAAAACCCGGTATTTCATAGATACTGGCAGTGAAAATTTTCTTGATGACCACTCACGCATCAAATTCTCATATGGATATTCAAAATTAAAGGAATACCAACAAACCAAAGCTAATCCTACCTTTGAAAATGGCTTGAATTTGACGCCAAGCTGGCCTTCAGAGAACTGAGCATCAAAGCACAATACAATACTCGTACAATCAGGTCAACAAGATCTCCCATAAAACTTGCACTGCATAAATAGTCAAAGTAATATATGACATGCAAAATCGTAAACCAGAAATTACCTGAGACGTAAATCGCTCATCAGTTGTCCAGAAAAGCCTAATATCTGGTATGTCAAATAAAACCATAGCAAGTCGCTCTAATCCAAGTCCAAATGCCCAAGCAACATTATTTGAGTTACCACTTCTCTTCAGAATTTCTTGTTCTGTAACACCGCATCCCAAAACTTCAAGCCACTTTTCCTGACACAACAAATGATAAGCTAATGAGATTCAACTCCCTGTTGTTTAAATCTGTCAACTGTCTCCAAGCAGTCCAATCAGTACATTAGCAACATAAAAAAAAATCTTAACAAAGTCTTCAGTCCTAATTCAATCAACCCTACGGAAAAGCAGTAATGCTATTATAGATAGTCACTATGCAGACCCTGCTGGGAATAACAATGCAAAATCAACTAGAGGAAAAAGAGTAAATATGTTGAAGTAACAGGCTTCTTCTAGGAGGTCGTCGGTTGTTTAAATCGTCTCTGAACTCCACAACATACAGAGCAAACAACATTCGTTTTAGCTCACTTTCCTTGGAGAATAAGGATAGACACTGCAAGCACACATTTTGTCCTTTTGGATGTAAACTTCAACTGCATACTTTGAACATGCTTTAAAAATAAATGCCAAAACTCACCACCTAATGAGTGGAAAATTATTGTAGCTGCGCATATTATACAGCACCAATTAACATAGCTCAGACCCCGGTTCTGCTATATATTTACAGTATATAAGACCATTTTCACTACTGTAGGAAAATAGATTATTTGTACTCTCCACTTAGACATATATCATACAAAAATTGTCAAAACACTGGAAGATGACATGCCGTGAGAGAAAAGTAGTAGACAGAAATACAGCAGACTTCCACCAAAAAAGGGAAAAAAGGATCTTTGAAGTTGTCTTCTTTGTTCTTGTACTTGTTCTCTACATTACTTTCAAAAGTTATGGTCATTGCCTTAGAGAAAAGTTGTTTGCCTTTAAGAGTAAACAGTTATTTTCCCAAAATCAAGCTCATGAGAAGGCGAGACCCATACCTGAAAATATATCTCAAGCTCAAATGATGGATCAGTAAATGGGAAATATGTATCAATCCAGCGCATTTCCACAGCACCTAAGAGTTCCAATGTACTGGAATGGTGAGAACATAATTCTAAACATAGCAGACAAGTGCGGTCATCAGAAACAACAACTTTGGTTAGCTTCGTTGACAAAATCATTTCACATTTTCTTTAATGAAAGGACCATAGAAGTCAATTACTGCAGCACACTATTATATTCTCAAAATTACACGAGTTTACGGCATCATTCTGCAACCTGAACATATTATTGGAATCATTCCAAACTCCATTAAAATTACAAAAAATACATGTCTTCCTCTGTACCATAACAAGTTCCTAGTCAGGGATCTTCCATTTCTGCCAATTTCTATCGCATATGAGACATCATATCTACCTTGATGGCAAACTCTACACTACCCATTTCTGGTTTCATGGAAGCACAACACTTGTTATAATAGGTTTTCAAGCTTCCCATGTGAACTTACCAAATAAGTGGCGTGCCAAACCCTCCAAACATTTCTTTAAATCCTCTGCCGCATAAGCAGTGCTATCCTGGCCAGATGACTCCCAATCATTCGGAGAAAAAACATGGACACCTTCCATCTGTATAATGCATGGGAAATTTGAAACCAACACTAGGGAGAATAGTGCTATGCGATTCTACGATATACATCTGATGTAAAAGCAGGTGGCGCTTCATGATATAGATAAAACCTGATGAAAAACTGGGTAATGCGTCGAGTCAATAGAATCTCTCCGGTAAACATCTCCAGTAACAAGGAATTGTGTGTGACCCTTGCTTAAAATCTCTGCTTGATGAGCACTTGTATGGCACCTCAAAACTGTTTGAGGGTCGATATAATACGTGTCATTGTAGCTCCGGCTTACATGATCAGCAGGAACAAGGACATCATCAAAGTTCTGCACGACAGGGTTTTTTACGAAGCTAGCTCTGTGAGAACAATTTCATTTTCAGCCCTAAATCTCAAAAAAGCAGAGCATTGTTTAATAAAGCACCGCCTTTTAATATGGCAACCACCAAATACTCATATAAACATTTGTCCTCAGCAGCATATCTTGGCAGATTTAACCAAAAGAGGATGCATTTCACATGTTTGTTTGTTAAACTTTACCCTAAATCTCGAAGCATCTCAAGGTTTGATAGTTTAATGTAGTTGACTGCAACACTCCATACTTCAGGGTTGCCAGTACAATAACACCCATACTTGAATATGATATGATGATCACTCAATAATATAACTCATCACTAATTTTATCCTTATCTCTTGTCTTAGTTTAACATCTAGCCACACGATCAATTGCTATCACCCAGCAAAGAATCCGCAACAAAACAATAAGGATGCTTAAGCTGCAGCCTCTTGTTTGTCTAAATAATTAACAAGCATATCATTCAGGTCATGCACTAAAAAAGACAAACAAATCCTTCCAAATAATTCAATTCCTCACCAAGAAATTGAAGATAAACAACCCATAGAAATCACCATTCTGGTCAATCAGTTAAATTGAGTAGACAAGATAGAGAAATATTAATCAATCAAGTGATTGAGCATCAACCATGGATATGGCTTATTTCCTTATCTCATAAGGAAGATTGTTATATGATGTGCATGGTATTCGGATTCACTTCATGTTGAAACTAAATAGATAGATAAGCTCACAATGAATGAAAGCTTGTCACAACCAGTGTCTTAAATACTGGACCGGACCAGCTAGTTCACTTGGTTCGATCGGATACTGGCCTGGCTTCCGGTCCGATTCATGGTCCCATGCCGGCTCTGGTCAAAACCAGTCAAGAACCAGCCAAACCGGTCCAGAATTGCCATATTGGTTGTGCCGTTTCAATTCAAACCGGCTCATTTGACTGATTCTTTGACTCAATGATAAAGAATGAAGGATAGCATCAAACCCCTGAACCAGAGTGGCCAAGAATGCACGCATCCAGCCGCACTAAACATCATCACAAGACTATTTTTGGCAAATATTGCTTATTCTATAGTTACTTCCTTCACTGAAAATGGTTTGTCAGGTAATAATCCACGAGTCTCCTGCATCCTAGCAAAATAATTATGCTGCTTGAGCCGCTAGGTTGAGCAAAATAGTTGTCATACTAATGCATTATATTACATATATTTCTACTTTATTTGAACCAGCCAGTTTTACTGGTTTCCCCCGATTGGTCGGAGCACGTACTGGTCAGCCATCCAGTATGGTCACCAGTACGGTTTTTTAAACACGGATCAAGACATTAATTTGGTGAAAATTATAATGATCACATCTGATATATAGAACCTAAGGCCCTTTCTGATGAAGAAACCAGGAAGACCTAGCCTTGTACATAGGCAACGTCAACAGTATAAGACTCTCCATTTATACAATGGCAAAAGGGTCATGGTCTAAGAAGAGCCTAACATCATCCTGTTGTTTCCTCGGTTAGGATAATAAGTTCTGCATGATGCTTTAGTGGGCTTTTAGCCTACATGATTTTTTATGCCGGACACCACAGAGAGCACATTGATTAATCTACCAAGAAATAACAGTCACTCCTTTCTATGTATCTGTTAGGCTGTCGTAGCATGGAAATAAACTATTATGACAAACAAATTGAAGGGAGGACCTTTGATTGATATGAGAAATGCATAATGGAAACCTCCATATGATTATACTCTTTTGATGGAAAATCTAGTGAACCCCATGACAACATTTTCCTGGTTCTTGCACTGCCTGGTGTATGTAAGAGTTGCCAATCTTAGAGGCCTACTTCTATGCAGAACCTTCTCTCAATAACTAATATTAATTTGATATACAAAGTAGATGAATAGATTCACACCTAACTCCTTCTGTTGATAGTGTTAGGATAAACTCATATGGCCACATCTTACTGGTAAAATTAAAATATAATAGAAATTGTCTTTTGCAGTTGCATAATTATTCTCAAGACCAAGAAAACCAAAAAAAGAGAAGCTGCAGAAAAACCATCAAATCCCCTCAGGAACAAAAATTCACAGTTGCTTTGCTACACATAAGAACATATGTTGACAGTCCCTTTGGAAGTTAAGGTGTTGGAACGTTTCGAGGCAAACAACTAAATACCCAGAAGAGACTCAACAACATCATGATTTTTCTAATCCATGAAATATGCCACAGGAAGTACACATAAAAGCTAGATTTGAAGAACCAGATCGAAAAATCTGAAGTTAAGTTAATAATTTTAGCTTTTATTTGTTCAACGTTCATCTGGTATTCAACTTCTGTAGGAAGATAGGAAGTACACATAAAAGCTAGATTTGAGATGGCCCCAGCTGAAAAAGAACTGATCAGAAGATCCTGAGCATAAACACTTGAGTTCTTGCACTAAAGAGAGGAATCAAAATGCGGTCACAATTCATCAAACATTTTTAACTATTGCTCGGACAGGTGGCACCCCTTTAGGAAGAATATCACTCGTATTCTCTTTTCATTTGGCGTGAGGCCTGGACACAAAAGCCTACAACGATTACACCTCGATGTTTGGTGTGATCTAACAGCATGATTGCTTAAATTGAAACTGTGTCATTCTTCTGATCATAGAAATGATAGCATCATTGCCTAGCCATCTCAAATATAAACCGAGGAGCTTTTCCTCTCACAATGAATACTGCTGATATTCGTTTGATAATTGTGTTTTAGCAGGAGTGAAATGCTAATATGCCAAAAACATATTGAAATTCATTAGAACTTCCACCACCGCACTTCTTCTTATAAAAATAAAAGACAGACAAAAACAATCAAATTCAAAAGAACAAGTACGAGACAGGCAGAAAGACAGAGACAAAAGATATCAACACTATACTGAGAGACCTGCCAAAGAAGACCATACATATCATAGCTTTAATGATTGATTAATTTATATCAGCTTGTTTGACAAGTTTGCAGCCTGACCTGTTTTACGGTGACGATTGGACAGAGATCATCAAACTTGTCAAACTTGTTCTCGTAATTAGAATCAAAGTAATCATATATTGCATTCTTCAAAATTCCTATCGGATGTTGGTTCCTTCTGTGAAGCTGCTGTCCAAGTTTTGTAAATATAGTGTCTGGGATATTGTTTGTAGGCTCATCTCGCACGACATCTGCAACCCAACCAAATGGTCAACAAGTAGAAAATCTAACAGCATTACAAAATTTGCATCCATGATCTATAGCACCATTGCAGAGAAGCTGCCTATCCTGAAACCATGTACTTCCTCGTCAAGCAGTATAAGGGCAGGGATAGGCTCACCCACCAAGCAATATTACTTATAAAGGGTAACGTTATAATTCTCTAATTATACTTAGAAAATAGTTACAGGCTACAGTACTTCCATTGAAAAACTTCAATCTGTTCAATATACTTCACAAAACTACCATGCCACACCAATTTAGGCATGTGTGAATGACCAAAGAACTACAAATGGGACAAAAGAGTAATAACAACCTGAAGGAAAACAAAAGGCACCTGCAGTCATTCCACTTTAATTATAAGCTCATGAGTACAAAGAATAGTCATAGACTTAATAGCTCATGAATACACATTATTAGATCACTAATGCGATGATGAAGGTGATGTTGGATACGCAAAACAAGCAATTCACATAATCAAGCATCCATTCACTTTGTCAGTTCATCATAACTACTGAGACATAACAAAATTCGGAGCATAACTCAATTTGTCAGTTCCATACATATGCATGAGCATTGCAGATGCTCAGATTAAGACAATGAAGAGCAACACATAGCCCAGCATTCCCAACATTCTACCAGTTAGGTAGCGTTAGAGAACTAATTGGAGAAAAAGACTAAGCAGACCTCACTTTTTGCAATAGATAAAAGCAAACCAAGTGTAAACTTTACCCTTTTCTCCAAAACTTGCTAAAACAAGACTAGTATTCAACTGAAGCCAGTACAATAATTCGTCTTTCCAGGTGTTAGTCTAATTGTGCAACTGTACATAGGAAAACCAAAACCCCAGCACATATACAATTCCAATCACAGACCCTCTATCCAATAAAATCACTCAGTAACCGTGGAACAGCAAAGGCAAGTTAATTTGTAATGCACTAAGAGAATTTAGAGTGACATGAGAAGAGAATCGGGTATGAGAAGAAGAATTCAGAATGACGAGATGAGAGGCAAAGAAAGAGCAGAGAGGCTCGATAGGTGAGAAAAGGCATAATTCCATTCAGCATTGTTGAATTATAATCAAAGTGAAAATGAGATTATATGGCCTTACAATTCAGCCTTAGTCACGTACCAGTCACATGACAATGGCATAATAGAAAATACCTAATCAACCCTAACTAGCTGATACTTCAAAACAAATAAAATTACAAAATCAACACCTATTGCTAGCACATTAAAATCATGCCATCACCTATAACACCATAGATCATGACACTACCCCCATGACAAAATCTTCCTTGTGTTCAAGGAACACATTATGGATACATCTCTGTAGTTGTACTATTTTCTCCAAATGCACCCCTTCTTCACTCATTTAGTACTTCATGCTTCAACCAAGACCTTTAAAATTTTCTTTCCAAGACTCGTACCTTGGCTTGGCAATAGAGCCCCCTGTGTATAGCTCAATGTTCTCAAACAAAATGCGCTCTTCAAGTCCCACTATAGGTGAGAGAGTTATAAATTGAGCATTGAAGTCTTTAGGTGGCCTAATAGTCTAAAGAGATAAGGCAGTGCACACAACTTCACAATTTCCCTCCCGATGCCATCTATGCAACTTAAGTAGCTGTTTTACAGTTGCAGAAAATTCAGGTTGTTCAGGACACTCTACTCAACTGCCACTAATGTTGATTTCAACTTCATTCAAACAACTGAAATAATGAAATAGTTGCAGCTGATAACTAGTTCCAATTTGAGAAGGAAATATGTACAAGGAGCTTGTCCATGGAAAATTTCTTGTCCCACACTTGAAGCACCTAAAGGCGATTAAGAACCACAAGGTGTCACAGCAACATGTCTCATCATCACTCTGCCCTTGATTTCTTGTAGAAGAGGAAAAAAAGTTGCAATATGTCTCCCGTTTTATCACTAGGCAAGAAATATGTACAGAACCTAATTTGCTTATGCTTCCAAGTACATCCGAATAATAGGAATGCCGTTGACCCAATGTTAGATCCTCCATCGCGCGTTTTACCGCATCAACACCATAGACCAACAAGGAACTTAAGATGCAACAATACGCAATTTCATAATGTCGGTGTAAACCAAGCTTAATGTATCTGACCCATCTTGGCTCCTCAATTCTGAACATAGTAGGCTGACTTTTCAAGAAGCGAAAATTCATACTCCGCCTATGGTTCAGTTGGCTAGACCCAACTGCCTAGCACCTCAAAGTCTTCAAGCAAACATTGATGCACAAGGTTGTTGTTGACGGTCCTACTCCAAAGCATATATTCATCCCCAAAATGTACAGAGTTGAACACAATCCATGCCTTCAGGAAGAGTACATTGTGAAAAAGCATGATATTACTCCAGTAGAAAAGTAGGTCAACAACTAGTGATTCCACCTCTTTGGGAACAGTATTGTGCACAGTCCGAGGAGCCTTAATTGTTCTTTTCTGTCCAGCATGGTCCGTGGAGAAAGCATTATTAACCAACTTAAAATGATTGAGTCCTTTATCATGCAATCCAAGACAGAGTGCCTGTATATGTGATGACTGGTGCCTTCACAAGATGAGCATCCATCTCATAATATCACCCTAGTAAATTCCACGCAATCGCGCTACCAGCATATCTCGACAATAACTGAGTCTGCCATGCTAATATCAATAAGCTGATCCACACCTATCAGCAGACCGATGCAAATAAGCTCCCAGTAATCTGCCTTTCCAGGAAATTCAACACAGGCCAAACAAGCTATGACTTCTGTAAAGTGGATGAGCTCCACACTAGACAACTTCACACAGAAAAGAATGCCCATTTCCTTGACGAATTGATCATCATGAGTATAGTGAGCAATGATAGAATGGGATGACAGAGTGCAAGCAAAGCTCAACAAAATGGTTTGGATACTCCTTCGCTCTTAGTCCTTCTCTGAACTTATTAATTTCTTCTACGCCCCATATGAACTATCCGCTTCAGTTACAGTGGGATAATATTTTGACTCCTTTTACCATTGTGGATTAACAACCCTGCTCGTAAGTCAATGAGACAGCTAAAAGCATTGACGAGTCTTCCCCGTTTAGCACACATAGCATTTGGGCACAAGCCAATTCTTTTCCCAATTATCATATATTTGTCTTGTACGACCGAAAGTCGTTAAACTAGGACTGGTCAGAGGATCACGAATGACGATGATCCAGTTAGATGCCATCTCCCAATCCTCCTCCAGCATTTTATCAAACAGGGTTAGCATCAAATTTGTCAATCTCTGTCTAAGTGTACCTAAGCACGATGGCACTACAGAGAACCATGTTTTCACATTTAATAGTTCATTTAAGATAACACTCGAGAGTGAAGTGCCTCTCATTTGCCATGTAACAAACAACATATGCCCAAGTTTTAACTCATAGACAAAAGGCTTACTCATTATATTGCCAACCACCATTGGTATCGAATCAAGAATCAATTCCTAACCACGACGACAAGAAAGAATCAGAGGAAACCAAACAAACCCACGAAGCAAGAATGCACCACCAAGCGAATACAGCAGCCGTTACCGTCTCTGGCGATCTTGACGCCGCCTCGCTCAAGCGCCGAAGCAACGGGTGCCCTCCATTTCTGGCGGCGAAGGTTGTCAACGGAAGAGAACGCCGAGGAAGAAGAGGCGGCGGTCGCGGACGAGGAGTAAGGCACCGAGAACGCGGTGAAGCTCCTCCTGCCGCTCCTGTGGAGAAAGAGCAAGGCTCTGGAGGAGAAGGCGGTGGACTGAGCAAACGCCATAGCCACGGCCATCTTCTCTCTCTCTCTAACCCAGAACTTAGTGTCGAATGTCAGTAGATTTCAGTGGCTAATACGTTCTTGAAGGGATGATGTTTTCTGGACAGCAATGCGGACACAGAGGGTCGAATAGGATTCGCAAAGCTGATGAGAGGAAATAAAGTCAGCAGAACAACGGGGAGTGATTAGCAAGCCAAACTAGCGGTGAGCGGTGAGCGGTCCCGGTTTGGTCCGACCCAATCTAAGAATCGGGAATCGGATTGGGAGGATTGGTTTTCAGTTTTTAGGATCGGGAATCGGACCGGCTAATCTTGTCTAGACCGATGGTCCGGTCCGGTCCGGTTCGGTTCCAATGGAACTAATATTAAATATTATTTATGAACTGGAACCGATTGTTTCGTTTTTTCCTTTGTAGTTCTGATTTGATCTCGTAAGGCTATAGAAAAAATTAGAAAAATATATATAATATATAAAAAAAATTGAACAATCGGTTCCAATGGGACCAATATTAAATATTTTTCATACATATATTAAATATTATATATATGAAAAATTAGAAAAATATATATTTATCAGTCCGGTCCGGTCCGGTTCCCACTCTAAAACGGGAAACCGGACCGCCCAAAAATCGGTTCCACTTTTAGGAACCGGAAACCGGATCGATATTCTCGAGAACCGGACCAAATCGGTCAGTCCGATTCGGTCTCGATTTAGGCAGTCTATCTTGTTCACTCCTAAGCCAAACCAAGGTCGGTTTGAATTTCCCTTAAAATTTGTGACCCAAAAAATATCCTGTTAAATAATAATAATAAAAACATAATTAAAGAGCAAAGAGCAACTTTTGGACTCTCCCCAAAAATTTAAACTATTTTTTAAAAGGATATGAAAAAAATCGTACGTGAATTTACATGTCAAAAATTCATATATTGTGAGGTCAAAGCAAAGTCAAAATGCCTTTGTTGTAAGATTTAAACCAAGCAAAAAGCAAAAAGTAACCGTCTATCCAGATATTCGATATTCAAATATTTTCAATATCAATATGTATTACTATATTAATTCCCTTCATGATTCTTGAAATTCGACATATCTTCTCATATTCAAATTAATTTTCTTAACGAGTGCTCAGAGATACTTATTAAGCGATCAATCTAGAAAAATTTATATTTTTCTATGCATTGACTTTTTCCGTATTGTGTATAATTAATTCATTGAAAATTGACTTATTCATAGTTAAATATACTTAAAAAGTGTCTCCGTAACACTCATTAACATAATCTTATTTACATTTTGAAAGAAAATTAATAAGGAGAAGTAATGCATTGATTTTTTTCCCAAATAGGTCCCTATGACTTAAAAGTAGTACTCCTCTGATTACCATAAATTTTGGTAGATGTAGCTAGGGGAGCAAACTTGTTGGGCATAGAGTTATTTTTAGGCCTGATCCATAGACGCAACTTGATAAATGAAAAAGAACTAAATCGAAATTATTGACTTGGGGCCGATTCGAGCTAAAGCCCGAGTTTTTTTTTTAATATTCAAAAGATATTATCCATTTTTTCAAATTCTAAAATCCTAACATACTCGATATAATTAACAAAAATTACTTAATTTCATCCAAAGAAACGAAATTTCGCACGACATCCACAAAAAATCTCCCCTTCTTATCAAGTTAACTATCACTCACTCAATCATATCAGGTAATGAAATATCGTTTAAAAATATTTTGTTACCAATGTTATTCAACTACTAATTGTTGTCAATGGAGGTTTATCCACCAAGTAGCAAGCTGTACTAAATGCATCCATCAAGAATCTTTTGCTTTATTATTTTATAAGTTTTGAAGATAATTAGCAAGAGAGAATCTAACAGTCCTTTGCTTTGACCGAGAATATGGAAAATCAATGGAATAGTTTTTTTGGGTCAAGACTGGAATAGTTAAAAGACCTCTGTTTTGGAAAGTTACTTGTAAAGTGAAAATTAGGGCTACTTCCTATCTCAAATGAGCGGGGCCCACGCTCCTCCTAACAAGGGGAAACATTATATGTCTCCACAACTTTTGTTCAAGCCTGTTTTTCGTTTGGTCCGGGGACCTCAGCATGGTTTATTTGAGTCTTTTTCATGGTATATCTTGTGGATAAGCTACAAGAGAGCCTGCATGCACTATCACGGGGAAAACTTCCATCACTAGGGATATGTAGATTATTTGAAATGATATACTCTAGAAGGGTAAGGATTTTGTCTTTTTTCTCTTGATATTGAAAATGTCAACCTAAGGTAACAAATGGAGAAGTACAGTTAAACTGCTACTTTTATATGAGAAGCTAGGACATTGCAAGTATGGTTTATTTGGAAACGGTTTGAACCATTGTATAGTAAACAATAGGGCTCTTCAATATTTGAAATTTTGGAACTATTTCTTGATGCTTTGGTAGCTTGATAGCATTTTATCCTGGCTCCGGTAGTTAGACTCTCGTCACACTAACAACACTAGTGTAGCCACCGCGATACTGTCACTTCTAAACAAACTGGGCCTAACTTTTCTAGCATTGATTCATAGGCCCAACTTGATAAATAAAAAGAACCGGATTGAAATTATTCACTTGGGGCCGATTCAAGCAAAAGCCCGAGTTTCTTTAAAAAAATACAAAAGATATATTATCCACTTTTTCAAATTCCAAAACCCTAGCACACTCAATATAATTAACAAAAATTACTGAATTTCATTTAAAGAAATGAAATTTCGCGTGGCATCCACCCAAAATCTATCCCTCTTATCAACTTAACTATCACCCACTCAAACACAATAGGCAATGAAATATTTTTTAAAAATATTTGATACCAATGATATCCAACTACTAATTGTTGTCAATGGAGGTTGATCCACCAGGTGGCAAGCCATACTAAATGCATCGACCGAGAATGTTTAGCTTTATTATTTTACAAGTTTTGAAAATATTGGCCTAAGAGAATGTGACAGTCCTTTGCTTTGATTGAGAATATCCTACTTTAACTCTCATTTCACTTTTAGAGTTTTACCCTGCCTCTTTATAGTGCGTGGGAATTGAAACCCACATTTGAAATTAAACGTCTTCACTCCTAATCCTTCTTGAGAAGGTGGTGAATTCAATTCCCAATCTACCCCTTCTTAAGTAGGAATGGTGGCCACTGGGGCAAACCCCAATGGTTAATGGAATGGCTGAAAGGCTTTGTTTCGAAAAGCTACCTGTGAAGTGGAAGTTGGGGCTACTTCTTCTCTCCAATGAGTGGGGCCCACGCTTTTCCTAACAAGTAAAAAGCTCATCTGTCTCAACACAATTTGTTCAAGCCTGCTTTTCGTTTGTTCCAGGGACCTCAACATGGTTTACTTCGGTCTTTTTCATGAGATATCTTGTGGAAAAGCTACAAGCGAGCCTGGATACACTCACATAAGGAAAAGTTCCTTCATTGGGGACATTTGGATTATTTGAAATAATATACTTTGGAAGGGTAAAGATTTTGTCTTTTTTCTCTTGATATTGAGAATGTCAACTTAAGGTGACAAATGAAGTAGTAAGGTTAAACTGCTACTTTTATATGAGATGCTATCACATTGCAGGTGCGGTTTATTCGAAAACAGCTCGAACCGTTGGATAGTAAACACTAGGGCTCTTTATTCTTTGAAATTTTGGAATTATTTATTGATGCGTTGGTAGCTTAATAGCATTTTATCCCGGTTCCAATAATTAGACTCCCGTCACACTAACACCATAGTGTAGCCAGCACGATACTATCACTTATGACCAAATTAGGCCTAACTTTTATAGGCTAGATATGTAGGCCCAACTTGATAAATGAAAAAGAACTGGATCAAAATTATTCACTTGGGGCAGATTCGGGCTAAAGCTCGAGTTCCTTTAAAAAAATTCAAAAGATATTATCCACTTTTCAAATTCCAAAACCCTAATTTACTCAATATTATTAACAAAAATTACTTAATTTCATCCAAAGAAACAAAATTTCACGTGGCATCCACCAAGACTCTGCTCCTCATATCAAGTTAACTATCACTCACTCAGATATAACGAATAACGAAATTATTAGTGGTCTGCCCTAGGAATCAATCAAGGTTGATACTCTAATATTAGTTGTGGATTAGATTGTGTCGGAAAATCGACCTTCACTATACGTAGGTAGTCATAATGTCTTGCTAGAGACCGCTTGTGACTTGTGGGCCAAAAAGAGTTTTGAGCACATTGCTAATGTTTAGTGAACCTACAGGGTCGCACACAAAAGCGAACTGAGTTAATATTTTCTGTGCGCCGGGATCTACTTAAAATAAGAAGTAGATTTTAATTTATTCTCCTATTCAACTTATCTATGCGGTCGTGCACGTTATGAGATAACGATTAAATGTACGATTGAAGGTGGATGGTTTGGCGGGCCCAAATCACCTGGCCCACTTCTTTTAATTTCGCTGGATAATGAGACTGTATAAATAGATAGAGAATCGTTCTCTGTCTAGGGTTTTTTCGATATAGTATCGAAAATCAAAAGGCGTTGAAGAAAAGAAACTTCAAGATCTTTCGCTAGCACGTGGATCGTTGGAGAATTCCGTTCATGTGTGTGGATACCGGTAGAGGCGCAATACTTGAGGCGCTAATTCAGACACAATCGGTTGTCGATTTATCTTCAATCTGCAAAAGGTACGTTTCGAAATTCCTTTTCGATTTCAATATACACATGAATCCTGTCTAGGGTTCTATATTCCGCTGCGTTATTACCGTTGATGAATCAATTAAAAATATTTGTTACCAATGATATTCAACTATTAATTGTTGTCCATGTAGGTTTATCCACCAAGTAGCAATCCATACTAGATGCACCGACCAAGAATCTTTTGCTTTATTATTTTACAAGTTTTGAAGATATTGGCCAAAAGAGAATTTGGCAATCCTTTGCTTTGATTGAGATTATGAAAAATCAATGGAATGGTTTAAAGGCCTTTGTTTTGGAAAGCTACTTGTAAAGTGAAAGTTGGGGCTACTTCCTCTTTCAAATGAATGGGGCCCAAGCTCCTCTTAACAAGGGGATACCTTATCTATCTCAATACCTTTTGTTCAAGTATGCTTTTCGTTTGGTCCGAGTACCTCAGCATGGTTTATTTTGGTATTTTTTATGAGATATCTTGTGGATGAGTTATAGGGAGCTGGGATAAGGACACTAGGAGTGCCATAACTTTTGTACGGCGCTCATTTGAGTGTCATAACTTTTTTTTGGCTCACTTGAGTGCCACATCGGAGTAAAATTAATTATTTGAGTGCTATTTCCGGCGAAAATGGATCACTTGAGTGCCATTTTCGGCAAATGAGCTGACGTGGATTATTTTAATGTTTATTTTATTTTATTTTATTGATTTTTTTAATTTTAATTTGTCTTTATCTTCTTCTTTTTTTCTTTCTTTTTTTTCTTTTTTTTTAAAGGTTGGCAAGGGTCACCGGTGACCCTCGCCGGTGGCCGCGAAGGCTCTCGCCAGCGGCCTCACCGGTCGCACGCGTGGCGGCGAAGGCACTCGCCAGATCCGGCGAGGCCGCCTCGCCCGTGGAGGCGATGGCTCTCGCCAGATCCGGCGAGGCTGCCTCGCCCACGGCAGCGATGGCTCTCGCCAGATCCGGCCGCGGGCGAAGCGGCGAAGGCCCTTGGCGAGGCTATCGCGGCCTCACCAGCGCAGGTGAGATGGCGAGGGCCTCGCCAGATCTGGCAAGGCTGGCTCGCCCGTAGCGGTGGAGGTTTTCGCCAGATCTGGCGAGGCCGCCTTGCCCGCGGCCGGCGAAATGGCGTTCGCGGCCTCGCCCAGCACCGACGAGGCCACGACGGCCTCGCCCAGGGCCTTCGCGGCCAAGGGCACGGCGGCTCTCGCCCAATCTGGGCGAGGCCTTCATAGCTGGCGAGGGTCGCCGGTGACCCTCGCCGGAATTGAAATTTTATTTTGCAAAAATAAAAAATAATAAAAAATTCAAAAATTCAAAAAAAATATATATTAAAATATTGTCAACGTCAGCTCCGGCGAAGCCACGTCAGATTTTCCGGCTGCCAAGTGGCATTTGGCACTCAAGTGAGCCAAAAAAAGTTATGGCACTCAAGTGAGCGCTGTACAAAAGTTAAGGCACTTTTAGTATCCTTATCCCATAGGGAGCTTGATGCACTAGCACGAGGAAAAGTTCCTTCATTGTGGACAGGTGGATTATTTATAATAATATACTCTGAAAGGGTAAGGATTTTGTCTTTTTTCTATCGATATTGAGAATGTCAATCTAAGGTGACAAATGGAGTAGTACGGTTAAACTGCTACTTTTATATGAGAAGCTAGGATATTGTAGGTGTGGTTCATTTGGAAACAGCTCTAACCATTGGACAGTAAACACTAGAGTTCTTCAATGTTTGAAAATTTGGAATTATTTATTGATGCATTGGTAGCTTGATAGCATTTTATCCTAGCTCCAATAGTTAGACCCCAGTTACTCTAACAACCATGGTGTAGCCACCACAATACAGTAAATTTTGAACAAATTGGGCCTAACTTTTCTACGCCCGATCCGTAGGCCCAACTTGATAAATGAAAAAGAACTAGATCGAAATTATTCACTTGGGGCCCATTCGGGCTAAAGCCCGAGTTACTTTAGAAAAATGCAAAAGATATTATCCATTTTATCAAATTCCAAAACCATAACATACTCATATAATTAACAAAATTACTTAATTTCATCTAAAGAAACGAAATTTCACGCGGCATCCACCAGGAATCTCCCCCTCATATCAAGTTAACCAACACTTATTCAAATATAACAGCTAACGATATATCGTTTAAAAATATTTGTTACCAATGTTATTCTGTAACATTATGAATTTTCGATCTTTTTCCCGGGATTTATGAAATGAATATTTCGGTCAATGTACTTATAGTGAGATCTCACCCGGAACCGCGCATTCTCGGGATGCTAACCTTAGGGGTAAGGCCATTACGGGATTGAGTTCGCACGACCAAAGAACTCGACTTTGGTTCGACCTTCGACCATAAGGATTGACGAGGGAATGTTTTGGGCCAACAGAGAGCGATATATTTGATTGATCGTGTCCGAATGGAACTAGCGACGGACCCTCGCAATTACATGACAATCGAGGTCGCCTTGGTTCGAGCAAACTTAAAGGTGATTTGACTTAGTGTCGGTCACGGGTCGAGAGCGCGTAATCCCAAAGAGCCACCCGTTAGCAAAAGATAAACTAAAGTCGCGATTGTTTGATTCTAGTCATTTCTTGGAATTTGGGCCCGGGAATCGAGAATTTTGAAAGTGACAATTTTGAGCGGCCGATGACGTTTTTGGCTTGGCCAACCTTGGGGCCACCCATTTCTGCAAAAAAAATGGATTTCGGTCCGGGACCGGAAAAATGACCATTTTGCCCCTGGCACCGCGGACGAATTTTCAGGACTGGATTAAGTCGGGGGACTGAGAATTACCCAGTATGGACGAAAATAAGAGGACAGGAATCCCCCTCTCCCTTTATGAGTAATTACCACTTTGCCCTTTGAATTATTAGATAAGATCAAACGTGGGCCGTCGGATTCGGATAAGATTAAATATTAGCCATTGGATTAGAGGGTAGATAGAGGGGTATTTTGGTAAATTTCGGGGTGCAATTATTGGGGTTGCCTTTTTAAATATCTTTTTCTCTCACTCCCTCTCTCATTTTTCCACTCTTATTCTCTCTCCTCACCCCTCCACCGAACCGGCTCTCTCTCTCCCCTCTCCCCTTGCGTGAAACCCCCCTTGGCCGGCCACCAGCTCGCCGTCGCCTGGTCGCCGCCCTTCCCGCCGTCCGCGCCGCCGCTTCTCTCTCCAAGCCGCGCCCCACCGTCCGTCCGCCTGTCTCTCTCTGTTTCACTGTTCCGATCAGCTTCGCCGCCACTGAGCCATCCCTGGCCGTCCTCCCCTGCCCTGTACGTCTCCATCGCCGCCCCCAGCAGGCTGAACGCCGCTCGCCAGCTAGCCACCCACCCACTGCAGCTCAGCCGCTCGCCCACCTGGTCGCCGGCGCCGCCGCCGCTGCTGCTGCTGTTCCGCCCGTTCCAGCCACCCATCCAGCTAGCTTGTCCCGCCTTTCTAGGGTAAGTGACTTCCCCAAACTCTCCCTAGGACCTCGGGTATTGTAGGACGTGTTTAGGGCTCGGATCGGGTAGTTTAGGTGGCTGTTTTGGGTTCGAGATGAGGGCTGGATATTTGGTTGTTGTGGACTGATTTGTGGAATGAAAATGCGTGGTTTAGTGGGCTTGGTTAGGGCTGTGATGGTGTGGAACGAGTAGGATTGAATTGTATGTTTGATTGGTAGAATTATGCCTTGAATGGACTTGTGTGTGGAGTCGTGTGACTTGTGGTTATTGGCTGAATTCTGCGTGAGTGTTGGACTGAATATGGCGTGGTTGTGTGCCGTGAGTGTGTGGCCGTGAGGCGTGGTGGTGTGATTGCACATTGAGTTCGCGTGCGAAGCATGTGTGATCGGGTGGTGTGTTCGTGTGACGAGGATGTGCATTTGTGAAGTGTATGCGAGATGTGAAATTGTGTGTGATACGTGTGGAAGGTGTGGAACAAAGGTACGGGAATGTAGGATTGGTTGGAAAAAAGTCCGTCCTGAGGCGTGTTCGTTTACGCAGGACAATGCCGTCCCTGACGAGGTGACGATGCCCGGCCCGACGGGGTGACGATGCCTGACGAGGTCAGAAGACCGTTGGCCTGATGCATTTTACGCAAGCGCGATAGTGGTGAAAAGGTTGAGAATGAGCTGGACTTGGCAAGACGTGTGAGGATTTTGAAAGTTAACGCATGGTGTGAATTGGTGTACGAGTGTGTTTGTATCGCGTGATGTAGCGCACGATTATGGGGTAAAAACAGCTAGGCATGGTATGGGATGTGCCCAAGTAGGTTTTGCCTTATAATCGTGGCATGCGCGTGGCTGTGACGTATTGCTGTGACATGTTGGTTATATTATTATCTAACGTGTAGGGATGTGCATGATGGATTCTAGGTAGGATCGCATGTATTTGTGAGTATGGTTAATTGTTGTGCGTGTTTCGTCTGGCGGTACGTGAGAGCCTATGTGGGGTTTGGGGTTGTACACTTATTGAGATTCGTCTCATGGTTGTATAATCTACAATTTCAGACCCCCAGCCGTAAACCCAGGAGGCTCGCCTCCTCTTTTTGGAGTTTGAGGAGTTGCCCATGGTGCCTAGTGGAGCTGCAGGTGATCCTCCGGGGGCTTGAGCCAGAAGACGCCGAAGCAGAGTGGAAGATGGCAACCAGTAGGTTTCCCTAGGGTATTTTAGGGGTTGCGCAGAATAGGTCGATCTATAGTGAAGCTAGGTTAACCAAGCCACCTGATCCTTTTTGGTATGTCGGTGGTTGTGAATGCTTGTTTGCTAAGCTCGTGTATAATATGATGTTTGTATGTATAATGCTTTGGCATTGTATATGAATGAGTGTTGTTGTTCTTTGACTGTCTTGTTGATCTACCCCATCGTCGTCTTTTTAGTCAGGGGGTTTCTATATTTCGCTTCCGCATGTGACTCTAATATTTGGGTTGGGTCGGCGAAGTTCCTGGGACGTCGCAACTATTCGACCATGAAGGGATGTCGCGAGCTCGATGGGGGTTCGAGGCGTGACATATTCAACTATTGATTATTGTTAATTGAGGTTTGTCCACCAAGTAGCAAGGCGTACAAAATGTATTGACCAAGAATATTTTGCTTTATTATTTTACAAGTTTTTCGACCAAAAAAAATAAATTAAAACTAAGATGCAATTTAGTTAAATTGTGAAACATTCTGAAGGTTGCTTGATACGTGCATGAATTCAATTGAACATCTGCATGGTGTTGGCGATTTATTAAATGAGATTAGCCTAGATTAACATGTAGTTCTAAAATTAGGGCACCCCATCTTTCAATATCACTCCCCAGCAATGGCATAATACTACACACAAAAAGGCCTACTTCCCTAAAAAACCCTCAACTTTAGGTCAAGTCCCAAATTTGTCTTCGAACTTTTTTTTGTCTTATAAAAAATCTCAAACTTTAGGTCTAGTCCCAAATCTACCTTGAACTTTTTTTTTGTCTCAGAAAAAACCCAAAACTTTAAGTCCAGTCCCAAATCTGGCCCGAATTTTGTTTTATGTAAAAAAAATCACCAAAATTCAATTTGTTTTCAAAAATATATCTCGTAATCCAGTCCCAACTTGACATAGCACTTCCACGTCAATAACAAATCTACATCAACAAAGTAATGGGACTTTTTTTTAGATAAAGAAAAGTTCGGAGCAAATTTGGACTTAACCTAAAAATTAGTTTTTTTTAATTAATTTTTTTTGGGTGGATTTGTTATCGTCCCTAACTTTCATATCCTAGAATGGCTTATTTTGGAGAATTTCAATAATTTTTATTGGGTTGGATTTGTTATCAAAGTGAAAATGTAACGTCGGTATGTACTTTACGCCCCATTATTTTGCTAATGTGGATTTGTTATAAATGTGGAGGTACCGCTGTTGACACCTAAATTTTGACCATCCATTTAGGGTTTAATTGCATATAAAATTAGGGGTTAATTTTTAACCTTTAAACAAAAATATTTTTATTAAATTACATGGCAGATAAACATTAGGTGCATTTGCATTAATGGGGTCTATTAGACATATTTTTCTTGTTTAAAAAAATAAAAAAATCCGGGCCGGTCCGACCCGGTTCGAGTGGGCCGGATTAGCCCGACCTGGTCTTGTTTTTCCCTTTGTCAACTTTAGAGCGTATATCTCAACTTGCACATCAACTGTTTGACGAAATGTTTGAATGAAGAACCGAATTGAGTTTTGCTGAATTGATGCTTGGAAATCGGTTTTCATGCTTAGTTAATTCTCATGTTTGTCGAATGGTGCCTGCCTCTATGTTTTTGTATGATTTCGTGGCATACTTGTTGATTCCTGTCGTCGGCCGTGGACAAGCACCTTCCGGAGACTCACTCCTCTCGCCGGAGCGATGTCCGCGGTTAGAGGCTGCCGTGGTCAGTTTCCCATCCTTGTTCCATGTGTTTTATGTGAGTATATATTTAGAGTTTTAGATTTGGTTGAGATTTGGAGATATAAAAAAAGGAAGTCGGTTGTTGGTGTCGATATTAAAAATTATTGTCTCTCCTAAGGTGAGAATAGTGCAAGACTACAAGGAAAAAGAGGTTGAGCTAAGCTCTTAATGAATTTCATAGCTATTATTGGTGGTGTATTAAGCCGCAGAATACCTTGATGGAATCACTTATATAAGTGTGGAGTGGGATCTCTTCCATGAGAACTAATGGCGATAATCTCTAGAGCATTTATGAATAAATCAAGCATGTGCATAGCCTATTAGTGCAAAACCTTGTTGAATAAGTAATGTGATTGGTGAAAATTATAATTCACAAAAAGAAATTCTTGGTTGATGGAAGTTTCAAACTTCACAAATGATTTCGTTAATTAAATTTCATTCTTTCTAAGGCTGGTTCATAGCCTATCGAGCACAAGTTCCAATGCATTATTCTCCAATAACCTAGCATTATTCTATTTTCTTTTCAAAACCTTGCGAAATATGTGAGGGATTGTTGGATATTTTAGCAGTTTTGAAATATTTGAAAGTAACATCTTTAATAGAAGTTATGACCGCCATGAATGCCATCATTTTGTAATGGTTTTGCAATAGTTGTATAATAGCTTTTTAACGGTTTTATAACGGCTTTGTAACATTTGATTTATTTTTTCATAAACTCTTCATTATTTTATAATGGCTATATAACAGTCATCTTCTCTTTCAATAATTACCAATTTATTTATAACGGTTTCCTAACAGTTCTCTTTCTTTTTCCTACAAATTGTTACTTTGAACATAATTGAAAAAATGATATTGATATATCAAAACATGAATATTCTTTTTTCTCGTTACATATCTTTCATTTCTTTGCTAGGTTATACATATAACGTTATTTCTATTCCTTCTATTATTCTGTGTGGAATAAAGAAGAAGGTTTGCTGTATTTTTGGAGGATAGCCACTAAAGCCTATTCAAGTTTTGTACTCCGATGGGCGGAATTATTCTTAAAGGCAGTACTTGCATGCCTCAGATAATTGATCTTATTTTCTAATATTTTCCAATAGATTTCTATTAATTTCTTATTTTTCATACTAACTAATATTTTTCCAACAATTTGAAGAAAGTTCTCAATCTTTGCGTGGAAAAACTCATCACTAAGAGACAAGTGTTCGATCTACAAAGATTACAAGGACACGAGTTGAACTCCAAGTTAATGATTTGACCGATTGAAACAGTACTTTTACATAGAACAAGCCACTAGTCTGAAGATATCGTCTCGAAAGCTGATTGATGCTCTCGAATAGACGCAAGAAGGCTCTGAATCCTCATTGAGTCGATTGCGCAGGTCCCTTTTCCCTCTCGAGGTCTCTCTTCCCTCTCGGCTTTTCTCAGATTTCATCTCTATTTCGGTGGGCGTGCATTAGGCTGGTCATGTGTTTCCCTGAGCGAAGAGGGTGATTGGTCTCTTCATACCAGAATCTCTGCCTCAAAATAAGCAAGAGTCCATGTGTATTCCTTGAACACGAAGCTGAATGCTTCTTACAATTTTGCCAAAATAAAACGTCCCACGTATCATGGATTATTGATGGAAAATCAGGACTCGGTGCAGTCCGCTAAACATGAAGGCCCCATTCCTCCGTCAATTGCGGCAAACCCACATTCCACAAATGCCTTGATTTATACTTTGCTTGAGGTGGTCCAAAGGTGGCAACGATCATGCCCAAGTATGGTATGATTCCATGCCATTTGAGAGAGAGAGAGAGGCCGGTTCAAAAGGGCTTTCGGACCTAATCTTCGAAACAAATATGGGCCAAGGCTTCGCACGCATGATGGGCCTTATCAAAAGCCACATTAATACGTACCCTGATGGCTTAAAATTCTTGCATAAAATTTTGAGTCAGATTGCGTATTGATCTGGTTCACAAAATTCTATGTATTTATCTAAAAAATGTCTCGAATCTCTAAATGTGGAAGAATTTGGTT